AGCATCTCTCGACGCGCTGTCTCCGCGGGCCGCTGCGTCTGGTGGCGCTGTTGCGCCTCAACAGGCGCCCGCGCGTGGCCGTAGCCTTCCTGCTGCTGTGCCTCATCTACCACCACCATCAGTGCGGGCCAGCGGAAGCGGTAATAGATACTCTCTTCGCCCAACGACGATGACGGTGAGGCGATCAACAGGGAGCCGCCTCGCAGGCCATCTCTCCAGGTCGTGAACAATGCCGTGACTGGCCACTCCTCGGCCTCGCCTGAACCGTCGTGATGCCCTTGTTGGTGAGTCTTCAAGACCAGCTTGTCGAGGGCTCAAGCGGAGGTGAGGAGTCTGTGGAGACGACGTACGTGCGGGCCGCGGGAGGGGACACTGCTTTCTGAACATGAAGGTGAGCTTGGGCGCCGTCTCTACTTGCTGGTCGCTAGGCGCATCGCCAGCCTGCTCGCGAGGCTGAACCACAACCAACCGCTTCACCGGATCTTCTTCGTTGCACTCGTAGTCCATCTCGAGGTGGTACACGTACAACCCACCCTCATCCTTCTCCTTCATGGCCTCGCTGTTGATACCACTAGAGCTCTTGAGCGTAGCTCTCACCTTCAACGAAGGATCTACCTCCATAGAACGACATCATCACCATCAATGAAGAAGGGCCACTGGAAAAACGGATGGGCGAGGAATTTCGAAAAAAGGCGTCCAGCCAAAGCTTCTCGCTCCGGTTTGTCCCTGCAGGCCCAGGCGGGTCGAGGCGGTGCGACGAGGCCAAGGCGAGCAAGCTCCTGGAGAGGGAGCCGACAGTAAAAATCGAGACGTTGGAAGTGGAGCAGGACGGCGAGAGTGTGCATGAGGATAAGTTGAGAGAAACTCGTTGTTTTTGTTTGTGAAAGGTACAGCGCGAGTTGGTGGGTGTTGAGAGGGGAGGGGGATGATGGATGTGGAGTTGTTGGGCCAAGGGCGGGTGGAAGATAGGCTGACCGCAAAACGGCAGAGGCACGTCAGTGCACGGCACGCTGGAGAGCACGGGTGGCCCGCATAGAACCTTACTGCAAAGCCAAATAAATTAGAGATGTCGCACTGTGAGGCACTGTGGGTGGTACCAGTTATTCGTGGTAGCCAATGAAGATTGGCGTTGTGCTGACGGTCCACCGGGGCTTGTCCTCTATGATGAGGAACAGGCACGGGTGCCTGCTATCGGGCTCCCCGTTCTCGTCCTCCGCTTCGCTCCACGCGCCCGAGGTGGCTCCGAGCTGTTCCATTGCCGCGTCCATGAGGCCCGACTGCTTGTAGAACGGATCGCGAATGCTCATCGCAAACATCCTCAGATCTCCCGTTCCCACAAGCTCCGTCTCCAGGAGGTTGGCCGTGATATCCTCACGAACCAAGCTAACCTCCCATTCGGAATTCTCTGTGATCAATGGGTTAGAAGAAGAACGAAAAAGAATGAAGAAAGAAGGGTACCTGTGGGCGGTTCAATTGCCTTGGGCACGTTTGCCGTCCTCCTATTAGGCTTGGGTGCAGCTGCCCTCGCTGTCGCCTTAGTGGAGGTCCCTGTCGTCTTCGTCGAGCCTGCTGCCGCCTTCGTCGAGCCCGCTGCCGCCTTCGTCGAGCCCGCCGCCGCCTTCGTCGAAGCCCGCCGCCGCCTTCGTCGAGCCCGCCGCCGCCTTCGTCGAGCCCGCCGCCGCCTTCGTCGAGCCCGCTGCCGCCTTCTCAGCGATCTCCTCAGCCTTTCGCTTCTGCTGCCGGGTGACCACGGAGGTCGGGGGAAGCTCCTTCTTCTGTCATTTCAGGGCGGCGGCAGCAGGACTTGTGTCACCCTCAGCACTCTCTGCTTGCTTCCTCTTCTTCACCAACAGTCATCCTTCTCGGCCTCTTCCTTTTTTCTCACTCTCTCAGCAGCCGCCACCTCCTTTTTCTTCGTCTCCTCCTCTTCCTTTTGCTGTTTTTCTACCGCCGCTTGTTGTCATCGCTGTTGTAGCTCCTGCTTCTTGACGACTTCTGGCCTCTCCACAACCACTAGTTTCAAACCGGAAGAGTCCACGATGTTAAATGTGGATGTGCTGCGTATGAGCTGCTGAATGTCCTGCCAACGAAACAATCGAATGACAATTAGAATGACGAAACAGCGAGAAAGAACAAAAACGCGCACCTTCTGCGTCATAACGCCTCCGCTGTTGCCCTCTTCGCTATTGCAGCTGTCGTCGTCACCGCTGTCGTCGTCACCGCTGTCGCCGTTGTCGCTGTCTCCGTTGTCGCCACCGCCGTCACTGCCGTCGCCTTCACCGCCGTCGCCGTTGTCGCCTTCACCGCTGTCGCCGTTGTCGCCGTCTCCGTCGCCTTCACCGCTGTCGTCGCCACCGTCGCCACCGTTGCCACCGTCGCCACCGTCGCCACCATCGCCACCGTCGTCGTCACTGCCACCGCCGTCGTCGCTGCCATCGTCGTCGTCGCCGTGGTTGCCTTCATTGTGCTTTCTATTTTCTTCTTCTTCTATGACTTCCTCTTCGAGTTCGTACTCTTTGTGTATCGATTCAGCGTTGGTGTCAGGCTGAGCGTTAGCTTCACCTGCATCATCGTCACTCTTGTCCGAGCCGCCATTGCCCTCCTCCACATTCACGAGATCTGCGCTCCCATCCCCTGTTGTGGCTAGCCACTGCACCATGGTCAACAAAGATGCACTTGTGTATGAGGAAAGAGCTTGAGGGTACCTGAAGGACCGATTTGAACATCCAAGCCACTTTTGGCTTCGCCAAAGGATGGCATCCACTCTTGATCTGGTCTGCCCACCACGCCAAAGAGTCGGGCTTGTGAAAGAGCACTCCCCTCGGCAAGTTGGTGTCGTCATGCATGCGCTCATTGATAGTGCTGATTGCTTGACGGACCAGCAACTCACGCTCATCCAAATCTGCACCTCAATAGTGTGAGAATAGCCATGACTAACTAAAGGACGGAAAGTGACGTACCAGAGAGTAGCTTGGCCTTGTACTTGGCCAATGTGAGGCAAGGGTTTTGGGCTTGAAAGTCGTCGACCATTGTCTCGCCAAGTGCACGTCATAGTTCGCCCCTACGCGTGGAGAGCTAGAGATCGTTGAGTAAGCAATGTCAAAACAAAAAGGGGGCAAGGAGTAGTACCATGGGGGTGAGGCTCACCCGTATCCACTGCTTGCCGCCGCTTGACAGCCTTGTCTTGTTGCAATTCATTTCTTCAGCTTTTAACTGAAGCAATTCCTCAACCCCGTCTACTTCGAGCTGCTGTCACTCTGTGCCACTGAAGCATGCGTGGTCGAAGTAGATCTCCTCAACTTTGGTGAGGAAGAACAATGACACCTCCTTTCTGAGACCACCTGTTGGACAAGGTCACATGTAAGAATTGATCAAGAGCACAGTTTGTTTGGCACAGACAGCACCTTTGAGTTCGTTTGTCCAGACGGTTGACTATCATTGTGCAGAGCTCAATGAGCTGTGCAAGAGTTGCCTCAATCGTGCATAGGCGCTTCTGCATCTGTGCTCCATCTTCATCCCCTTCACGCGCTGGCACCTTTCCTGTGGGTTGTAGAAGAAAAACATTAAAAAAATGTAAAAACATCAAGAATCATGGGATTCCATACCTTGCACTCTTGCTTGGTTTGGCCTCACTTGCTTTGTTGCAGTAGTGGACCTTGAGGCATCCAATGCAACTGTACCTGCGCCCAGTTCACTAATTGATGAGATATTGTAGAAAAAAAAACATGCAATAAAATGAGCACCTTGCGCACAAGCCATGCTCAGCATTCCCTGACCAACTCTAATCACATTCAATTGCTGCATATTCAGACACAATCCTGCGATTCATTGGAAAATGTTAAAGAATTAAGCAGAATACAGATCAATAAGAAGCAAATCAGTGAACCTTGTGCACACAAGCCACACTTGACTTGTCTTGGCCATTTCCAATCACATTCAATTGCTTTGTATTCAGACACAATCCTGCGATTCATTGGAAAATGTTAAAGAATTAAGTGGAATACAGATTGATAAGAAGTGAATCAGTGAACCTTGTGCATGAGCCGCACTTGACTTGTCTTGGCCATTTCCAATCACGTTCAATTGCTTTGTATTCAGACACAATCCTGTACAATTGAACATGTGAAATTAAAAAATGTATCATTACACTACTTCAATTACAAGTAGCATGACGCACCTCCACTGCGCACATGCGTCATGTTGTCGTAGTGGTGGGAAGGCAAAAGCCTCTCCCCAGCACGCCTGCACGCTACCCCGACAGGGAGCGCAAAGACCTTTGCCTGCGTTTGCTGACCACTTGTTCCGTTCCGCTAATTCCGGGCTTCGTGCCAGGAAAAAACAGGGATGACAGGCTCTGCGGAACGCCTTCAGCCGTGTCGGAATCTGGAATATGCCACGCCAGATAATCACAGCATATTTGTGATTTTGGTGTATGTTCCGCAGAATCAAGTATCCCTGTTTTTTCCGGGCAGGAAAGGAATGTAAAAAGAAATGGTGTCGCAAAGCCTTTCTTTTCGTTGTGCTCCCTGTAGGGGCAGCACTCTCAGAGGTGTGGGGACCCCCTTTTGCCCTTTGGTCCCTCGTTCATCTTGAGGTGAGCTCATCTTGCCTCCTTTCCGTGCAGGACACTTGCTGCGTTTGCGAGCGTCTGATTTCAGCACCTGCTAATGCAGTACACTGTCCATCTTCCTAATGGCTTGTCTGATTGCACTAATCCATTGTTTAATGTGCAGATTTGGCCCCAGTGAATTGTGTGTTTGCCCTCTTCATCAATTTCACCAATTCATGCTACATTTCACTAACTGTGATGTGCAGGTGCCTGAGGGCCACAACATACAACATGCATCAAGCAACACACCGCAGATCACGTGGCACCAAGAAGCGGAAGCATGAGAAGCCAACAATGTACATTCCATTTGATATTTTTTCTACATCTTTCTAATGTTGTTTTGTGAAGGGTGGATGCAGCTCGCGCGCTTGCACATTACAAGCTAGGGCACAGATGGAAGACAATCTTTCATAATGTGATCTTGATGCGCAAGATCAAGCTGGTGTGTTTCTCTCTTCTAAAAATTGCTTTCTTGTTGACTAACGTTGTGTGTGTACAGCTGTGCGAGTATGAGATTTGTGTCTCTTATGACAATCTTCAGAGGTGACTGAAGAACATGAGCTTGCCTGAAGAAGCTGCTGTGATCCAGTACAACACGACCAGCATCTTCAGTGAAGTTGAGGAGGCGGCCTTCTACCTCCACCACTACCACCGTTGGGACCAGCACAGCAAGATTCACAACTTTGAGACACATTACTACACCAATGATATCAGATCTGGTGTTGACATCCTCTACCGCCGCCTCTTCGCTGTGCTCATTGAGTACACAGGGAGCTCCATTGATGAAGACAGCCTCTTCATGATCTACACCACCTTCCACAATGCTTTGTACTTCCCCTTCATCTTGTAAATGGTTTTCCATTTAACTTATGCCCTTGCTCTCATGTGCTTGTGCAAGACAGGTGGGAAAAGCACATACACATGTGGAAGCCAAGGAAGACGCAGAAGATTGAAGACCTGCTGATGATTGAGACACCAATGATAGAAGAACCTCTAGACCAGGTCCGTCTTTTCACTCTCTTAACGTTCTTTCTTCATTCTTTCTTCGTTCTTACCATTTGTTCATCAGCACCCAACTTCACCCTCGACCACGAGCAACGTTTCTACACCAGGAATGGGTGACAATGGACCTGCAGACAACAGCGATCCCTGTGCAAATGTTCGCCCAGCACTGGTGCGTTCTCCTCTCATTTGCATGTACTTTGATCATGTTGATAATGAGTGTTTGTCTCCAGAGTGATGAAGAACACCTGGCGGCCACCATCCACCCAATGCTGTCCAACTCAGATCGTCTGAAGCTCTGGGGCATCTCCACCAAGACAGTGGATGCCTACTCGCTTGATGGTTCTGAAAAGAAGCTGATTTGGTGGGTCATGGTCGATCAGCTGCACATGCACATGGCCCTCGACGAGAACAGGCCCAGTGGCGAGGGTGAGCATGAGGGTGAGCATGAGGGTGAGTACAAGGGCGCGGGTGAGTATGAGAGTGAGCATGAGGGCCAGATTGTTCAAGGCACAGGCGAAGGGCACAAGGGAAGCTACTGGACCAATGCGCCATGGTTCTTCCAATGTTCTTCATCAATGCCCACAAGCAACAGCGCTCATGCCATGCATCAATCAAAAGAATCTACATGTCTTTTGCGAATGCACCAACAGCAGAGCACTGCACAGTGAAATTGTGTGTACTGCTCTGCCACGTGCCAACGGGGTGTGACATCTTCAAGGCAGTCCATATCATGATCATCCAGCAGATGTGATTGCTGGAGCAAGGAGTTGATGTCAAGTTCACTGGCAGCAGGACAACACAGTGCTACAGCTCTACATACGCAGTGCTTGGCGATCATCCATCACAGGCCAAGCTAGCTGGTACATGTTTCCTCCTTCCTTGTCATCCCCTTCACCTTCGTTACTGACCTTAATACTTATTTACACCAGGACTGGCTGGGTGTGGATGGGCGGCATGCCAGTTCTGCCACAAGCCTGCGATGTTCTTTCGCTACACGAAATGGCCGTGCATGCGCAAGGACACCGGCGAGGAGATCAGGAAGCCAGGCAAGCGAAACCCCGACAGCTACCACAACCGCCACACCGAGGCGATCAGGAAGGCGACCTCAGGGCGACTGGGAACGGTGGGCGAGGGCAAGGACGATCTCAAGTACAACGGCTGGAGCACCAAGGCTCCAAGCCCGTTTTGGGATCTCCTGTGGATGCGCCAGTCATTCTTCCTCTGCTTCGGCATCTGCCTGCTCCACCTCGAGCTGTTGGGCAACGTTAAGGTACAGTCCTCCTTCAGTTAACTGTATTTGTATTAACATATTTATGTGCTCTTGTACACATACAGCGCCATCTACGGTACATGTGCGTCAAAAACGACATCTCCGCCGAGCTCAACCAGCGGATCAAGAGATACAGCCTGTTTCCCAGCAAGAGCAGCTTCACGACGCGCTTTGATTTCACCAAGAAGAACAAGAAGGTGCAGCAACATGTTGTGGCGCTCATCTTTTGTGTTCACAAATCATGGGTGTTGGACAGGGCGTCGCCTCCCTCACCGGCGGCGAGATGGAGAGCCTGCTCCAGGTGCTGGAGGTGTGCCTCAAGGGCCTCATCCAGAAGGAGGAGTTCAAATGCTGGACCCTCCACATCAACATTGTGTACCTCCTCCATGACACCAAGGAGTGGAGCAATGAGCTCCTGCAGCAGCTGACCAACAACACGGTCCTGTGGAAGGAGCAAATGGTACAACTCTATGCCAACACCACAGAGAAGAGGAAGAACACAAAAAAGACTGGGAAGGAGAGGAATAAGAAGGGAAAGGCGAAGAAGCAGGCGCGAAGGGTGGTGATGGATGGCGAAGAGCGCAAGCTGCTCAGTTTCGAATTTCCCAACTTTGAGACATGTGAGCATTGGGCAGACGTGATCAAGTTCCTTGGTCTGCCCATGTTCATGGACATGAAGCTCTGGGAGGAGTGGCATCTGGTGGCAAAGTGACTCAGCAGGTGGACAAACCAGTGGTACATCTGCAGGGATGTGCTCATATGAGTATGTGTCTTCTCTTTTCTCTTTTGCAAAAGGTCGTTTACTAACATAATCGTCAGACTCACGAGAAGGACGTCGTGCAGCGAAAGGCCCCACCGCGGCAAGCGAGGAGGAGAAGGGAGAAGGTTCCCTACAGCCTCACGCGCTCCCGTAAGGCCGCAGGCGCATTCATCGGCCAGCAGCACTCCCGACTCCGGCTTGGAGTGGTGCGCGAGCTTGCTGAGTCTGGGTGGGCGAGCACCAACGTCAGCTCAGTGCTCTCGCACGCAGGATGCCACTTCTACGGGCGCATCCTTCGATCGGAGCACGCCGTCGTCCTCCGTGTACCTCAAAGCCGCAGCGAGGTAAGTTTTGTTTCTCTCCTCTCCCTCATTTACTAATGCAGTCTTGTGTCGCTATCTCAGGACGAGTTCGTCTTCTCGACGACCAGTCCATCAGGCTTCTCCCACCTGGTGATCCCCATGAGCGTGTCGTTGTGGCGAGGATAGCGCGCGTTCTCTCCATCGAGCACAAGGGAGAGCGGATGCCGTGGCTCGAGGTGTGCTTCGCACAGCGCGTGCTAGATCGGCACTGGCTCTTCCTCAGCTTCAAGATGAGAGAGGCCCGCTTCTACGTGCCGCTAGGTTGGGGCGGGTGGACCATCGCGCGATGGATCAGTCTTCGTGCTGACTACAGAAACGTGCAATACCACCTCTACAATCACCGGACACTTTGGCTCCTCGCGGATCGATGGCCCCCAGGTCATGAGTCAAGACTCAAGGACAACAGGGACAACAAGGGCGAGGTGGATGAGGAGGATGAGGAGGACGAGGGGGTTTAGGCCGACCGCAGGACGTCGAGGTGCAGTGGCGAAGACAACTCGAGGGGCTTCGGTGTACAACATTTCAATTTTTTGCGACCAATACACCACTCACAACAACTCGACGTGGCCCGTTTCCGGATTCTGGGTTTCGCTGCGATGGGGGGGTGGTGGGCTTTTCTTGAGATCCTGGGCCTTCAGTTTTGCCAGTGCACAATCTCGCTGTTGTTGTTGTTCGTGTCGCGCAGGGCCTCGCTGATTGTGGTGTAGGGCGACTCAGCTGACCTGCATGAGGTGGTGCAGGTGCTGTTGGCGTCCATGTAGATTGTGGCGGCTGCTTGGGGCACGAGTGCGCAAGCCAGTGCGAAGAGGATGAGCAGGGTGATAGTGCTACTGAGGGAGTGGGTCATGATGATGGGCTGATGGGTGGTGTGATGATGAAGAAGGTAAACTACAACAACTATGGGCTGTGGCAGTGCAGCTCTTGTGTGCCTACTGAAGCAACAGTGGGGAAGAGCTGATTGGGCAAGGGACTTTGTACCCGCCACAATGAATCCTCCCAATTGCATGCTGTGACCACACGCTGGAATGCCAGCAATGGCAGCTCCTCATGGCTGGACCTGCACGGCATTCTGGAGTCCTATGAAACTCCCCCATGCCTTTCTTTGAAGCTCATACGACCAGGTCGGAGTCACAGGGTCATGGGGGCGTGGGAAGTTGTCGCTCTGTCGCCCCAAAAGTGTCGGCAAATGTGGAATGTGAGAAATTTCGGCCTGGCGAAGAAAATGGGGAAAGAAGGAAGAAGGTGGGCAAGAAGGCGCAGAGTTCAACATCGGCGGTAGAGATGACGCAGGAGTACCGTGTCCTTCCTCAGAAGCATTTCCCGAGAGACCCCACCAATGTCTCCACGGGCGAGCAGCGACACTGGAAGCAGTTCAAGGTAAAAATCGTGATTAATCGCCGCCAAATCTCCATCCCCTGCAATCTTCCGCAATTGGCAGATTTACCAGCGATTTTCCTGTAATCCTTTACGTTCGTTCTCTTGTGATGCGATTCAGTTTCCGGTGCTGATTAAGCAATATGGAGCGGTCACGAGCATCAACTTCTCGCCCGTCTCGCCGCACAACTTTGCCGTGACGAGCAGCAGCCGCGTGCAGATCTACAGCTCGGCCAGCCACAAGCCCGTGAAGACCCTCTCGCGCTTCAGGGACGTCGCCTACTCCGCCAGCTACCGAAACGACGGCAAGCTGCTCGTCGCCGGCGGAGAGGTCCCCGTCGTCCAGATCTTCGACCTGGGCTCCCGTGCCATCCTCCGTTCCCTCAGAGGCCACGAAAGGTGAGCTCTAGTCACCTCCAACAGCCACCAACGCCACCGCCATGACACGACACGACACGCACGGCACACGACACGCAATTACTCATTTTGGGTCTCTTCCCTGTTTCGTGCGCCCAGCCCCGTTCACGTGACCAAGTGGTCGCTGGACAACGTGCACATCTTCTCCTCGTCGGACGACAAGACCGTGCGCTACTGGGATTTGCCCACGGAGAAGGAGATCCAAATCATGAAGGGCCACCAGGTTCGGCCGATGCCTCTCGCGCGCGTGTGCGGTGGTGTGTGTGTGTACGTGCGTGTGCGGTGGTGTGCGGTTTGGGCTGACTGTGGTGGTGCCGGTTGCGCGGGCGGACAGGACTACGTGCGCTGCGGATCGACGGTCGCGTCGAGCCCTGCGTTGTGGATCAGCGGCGGCTACGATCACCGAGTCATTTTGTGGGACACCAGGTCGGGCCAGGCCGTCATCAAGATCAACCACGGCCACCCGCTCGAGGCCGTTCTCCCCTTCCCCTCCTCCACTCTCCTCTTCACTGCCGGTACGACGACCACCTGCAACTTGGCGGCCTCATTTCGTTAACTGTTGGGTGTGTGGTCGTGCAGGCTCTGACAACGAGATCCGAGTCTGGGACATTCTGGCCGGCGGACGCATGATCCGCTCGGTGTCCAACCACCAAAAGGCCATCACCACCCTCGCATTCAACGTACGACCTGCTGTGCGTGTGCGTGTGCGTGTGCGTGTGTGTGTGTGCGTCATCGCTGGTGTCGCGCTTGTTGTGTTGTTGACCTGGTTCAACCGCCTGAGCTCACATGAACTCACCGCGCTTAATGATATAAATGTATATCGCGAGCAGGCTGACGGCTCTCGTCTCATCTCCGGTTCGCTGGATCAACATCTTAAGATTTACGATGTTGTCGATTACTCCGTCGTGCACACCATCAAATACAACGCTCCCATCCTGTGCTCCGCTCTCTCGGTACCCCTCCCTCCCTCCTCTCTCCTCTCATTGCATCGCACGTCTCATTCTGATTGTGTGTGTGTGTGTGTCGCACACAGCCCGACAACACGCACCTGGTGACCGGTCTGAGCGATGGCATGCTCTCGATTCGCCATCGCCCCCAGAAGCCGTCGGAGCGCACGCAGGCGCTGGCCAAGAAGGACTCGCTCCAGGGCGGGTCGCACCGAGCCTTCCTGCGGGCCAAGCGCTTCGCTCATGTTCGTCCCTCCCCCCACCCCTCGTCGCCCATTGCGTAAAGGCGTTCGAGACTTGTCGCTCACTGGCTAACGCGACTTGCTTCGTTCTCCTCCAGAATGACCACGTCGTGTATAAGGTGTCGAAGAAGAAGATGGTCCGAGCGGACCACTTCATGCGAGCCTTCCGCTACAAGGACGCCCTGGACGACGTGCTCAAGGTACGCATGCACTATTTTTCTTCTTTATTGATAAGCAGTTATACTTTTTTATGCGCATAAATTGAAGAATTTAGTTGGTTACTTATTCTTTTTGTTTTGTTTGGTTTTATTTTTTCTTTCATGCAGATGAACACCAAGAAGATCTACCCGCTGCTCGAGGAGTTGGCGCACAGGAAGGCGCTGGGCCGCGCCCTCGCCGGAAGGAATGACGACGCGCTGTCGCCCATCCTGATCTACGTCTTGGCCAACATCACCAAGCCCCAGTACTCCCCGCTGCTCATCAAGATCGCCCACATCATCCTCAGTACGTAGAACCACTCGCTGTGCGTGTGCGTGTGCGTTTCCGTTTCCGTTTCCTGGTCGGCCGTATCTCACTCAACACATCACGCGCACGCACACATGCATGCAGACATCTACAGCGATGTGGCGGGTCAGTCTGCCATGATCTCCGACCTGCTGCGCAAGCTCCTGCTCAAGGTGAGGAAGGAGATCAACTTCCAGGAGCAGAGTCTGCGACTCCTGGGCACGCTCGACATGCTCATCAACTCCGCAGTCGCTGCTGCCGCCTTGCCCGCGCCTCTCTCCGCATAATGCTCTCTTCCTCCCCACTTCTGGAACGTTTCCCCTCTCCTCCTGGCTTCTCATCCCCCTCCTCTCTCTCTCTCTTCTCCTTGTCTCTGCCCCAACTGCGGTTATGCTGTTTTTACACCAACATTATTTATTATGAGAATAAACAAACAGGACTATTTGCCAAGGCTTCAATAGGGCTGTGGGGACCAGACAGGCCAGAGGGACCTGTCTGTTTTGGAGGTACCTCTGATGCTGCAGGTTTAGCCTTCATAGTTTGCATTCCTTTCCTATTACTGACCAGGAGCGCAGAAAAGGTGCGGGAATGCTGGGTATGGCTGGCAGTCAGCTGTTCACAAGACAGCGAACAATCTTGGCCGCTCCGATTGGCACGCCACCCACGCCCTAAATCTGTCACACCGGTTCGCTTACACACCTCCATAGTGACTCCGTTCAACGAGCATCATCATCGTCATCTTCTCCCTCTCGATCTCTTTTTTCCTCTTTCACATCATCTTCGCTGCCAAGCGCCCTCATATGGACAGGAAGCTTCGCTAAAACGATTCATCGAACAAGCAGAGGGGCACGAGAAGATATATAGAAGAAGGCGGTCATCAAGGTAAACAAGTTGATAGATCAAAGCTGAAGAAAGGCGAAATGTCATCAGACAGCGACGATATCGTCGTGACGCTCGAGGAGGATGGGGAGGAGAGCTACCGCTCCCTCTGCGCCGTCGACGAGGTCAGCCCAGCCATCCACCCGGGCAAGGCCCGTGTCGCGGGGATCCCGATCCCGCTGAAGCGCAGCGAGGGGGCGCGAAGCGAGGACGACCACTCGGCTCGGTTCTCGTCGTCGCCCACGACCGACGACGACGAGAGCGGGAGCAGCACGCGCAGCCGCAGCAGCAACAACAACAGCAACAGCGGGAGCGAAATCAGCGGCGGCGGAACGCCGGGCCGCAAAGCGAGCCTGGCGACCGACGGCGTGGAAGCCCGAGTCTTTGCCTCGGAGGCCGAACACAAGGCCTACAAGCGGATGAAGGCCCTCGAGGAGATCATCGAAACCGAGCGCGCCTACGTCAAATCGCTGGAGATCGTGAACAAGGTTTGATTCCACTCTTCTCCTTTTAGATCTATGATGGACTCATCATTCTCATCACCACCTCTCTCATTTCTTTTTGATGTTGTTGCAGTACTACCTCCAACCGCTGAAGAAAATCCTGACGCCTGACGAGATTGGGCAGATCTTCATCAACCTCCCCACCCTCCTCACGGTCAACAAGACCCTCTTGGCCCAGCTCGAGGAGCGATACCTGCTCGGCTCAGACTGTTGCCTGGGCGATGTTTTCCTCACCACGGTACGCGCCATGAGCGGTGGCAGGCCACTCCCACATTTCATTGGGGGGGGGCGGTTGGCTGAACCTTCTCGTTGGCTTGGTGGCATAGGCGGACTACCTCAAGTTCTACACCACCTACACGATCAAGCACACCGATGCGCTGGTGGTGGTGCGTCAGCTCAAACAGCGCAACGTCTACTTCAGCCCGTTTTTGAAAGTACACCTTCGCTCATGCCCCCTTTCCTCACTTGTTCGAGTGCTATGTCGCCTCGTAGGCTCGCGCGTGAGCTCACACACCTTCTTCTTCATCATCTTTCCTTGCGTGGTGACCCATCGCAGAAAATGCAAATGGAGCCGCAGTGTCAGAACACCTATTTAACCTCCTTCCTCATCAAGCCTGTACAGCGCATCTGTAAATATCCATTGCTCATCAGGGTATGTGCGCCGTGGGTCCTCTCTGTGAACTCCTGTAAAACAGTTAAGGCATTATGATGAATGTTGGTGGGCTCACTCGTTGTGTTTCTCTCTCTCTCTTCCACCCGACAGGAACTCATCAAGTACACACCCGAGGGGCACAATGACCTGGAGGACCTCCGCGCCGCGCTAGACAAGGTCAACAGCGTGGCTGAGCACCTCAACAAGCACCACCTCAAAGCTCAGAACATCAGTAAGATGATGGAGATCCAATACTCGCTCACGGGCATCGGCAAGGTACACCAACACGCCTCCCCTCGCATCGACAAACAATCATGTTGGTCTGTACAACTTGCTGACATTATCATCGTCATCATCTTCATCTTCTTCATCATCAGCGAACACTTCTGGAGCCGCGGCGGGTGTTCAAGGTGGAGGCCGACCTCAACCTGTCGAAGAGCCTGCACAGGAAGGGGGTCCGGAAGTTTTTCCTCTTCAACGACCTGCTGATCATCGCCAAGATCAAGAAGGAGTACCGACAAAAGGAAAAGGAGGACCAGCAGGGCGACGGCAGCCATTCGCCACGAAAGGGTAGAAAACCACCACCCAACAATCAATCAAACAATCAATCAAGCAAAATCAATCAAACAAACAAACAATCAAACAACACACTGCTTGTGATGTCACGCTGATTGCTTGGCTGTGTGGCGCTCTCAGGTATTTATGAGGTGAAGGTGTGGCTTCCGTTGACGCTGGTGCTGATTCGAGACATCGAGGACACGCCAGGTAATCAATCCTCTCCTGCACTGCCTGTGATGGTGTGTAATTGTCGGGCCGATGACTGATGAACGTACACCTCGATTCAGCTACCAAGAACGTGTTCGAGCTGTGGGAGGAGAAGGACACGACGGTGAAGGAGGCCAAGAAGGCCAAGAGCAAGAACTGGGTCGTCTACGCCAAGTCGCCCGAAGAGAAGGCGAAGTAGATCAGCTCCATCGAGAAGTACAAGAGGAAGCTCGAAGCCGAAAACGAACCGGCGTCACCCGACGATAACGGTAACGGTACGACAATCGCACACACCGCACACAATACGCAACTCGCACCCCCGCATACGCAGCGGCGTGAACTGAATGGCTTATCTCTGGCGCTGGCGGGCGCGGCGACACTTCAGGCAAAACGTTGGATACCTCGAAGTCGCTGAAGATGCCGCGATCCAAGTCCTCGCGACAGCTCCAGCGCGGGACGCTCAAGATAATCAGCCTCGACGTCAAGCAGGACAAGTCAGCGTCGCTCGGCAGCAGCGGTATGTCATCACAGCCCAGTCCGTCTTCCTCGGACTTCCCGCCGTGGAATCGGCCATCGCCGGCACTGCTCACGCGCGTAGAACCGAGACGCGGCACCGTAGGTGAAATCGCCCAGCACTCCAAAGTCAAGACCAATCGGGAAGTCGTACGACCACCGCCAACAACAACCCCTTATTGAGGATTTATAATTGTCATCTGCTCATCATGATGTGGAGCAGACGCAAGAAGGTGAACTCGGCCTGTCGCCTCGAGGGCGAGGGCTGAGCACGAAGGAGAGCCCGGCGGCCCGCAAGGGCATCGACCTCAACATCCACAGCCAGCCGGTTCCTTCACCGGCCTCATCGCCGGCGCTGTTGGGCGCCACCAACGGCTCGCGCTTCTCGGCCCTCTCGGGCTCGCACCAGAGCCTTCCCGGCAGCAACTGGGTCTCGTCGTCGCCCGGCTCCAGCACCTTCGCGCCTCTCTCCTCCTCTTCGGTGGCCTCACCACCAGAGTCGCCGCGCTCGGGCTTCGGCCTGGGCGGCTCGGCCGTCTCCGCCGGTATCGGGACGTCGCCGGCGCCGCGACGCAAGAGCCGGCGGCTGTCGGCCGCGACGCCGATGTCGCCCTCCGGCGCGCACGGCGGCCTGATCGTGCCCACTTCAGGGTCGCTGTCGGCCAACAGTCTCCCCAGCACCCCAACGTCGCGTCGGTTCCGCCTCTTCGGCGGCGGCAAGGCCTCCGACAGCGGCGAAGAAGACAACATCGGCCCGAGCAAGGCCTCACCGACCGCAACGTCGGCCCTGCAGGCTCAGTTGTCGGCGCGAGGGGACGGCGATGCTGACAGCGGCGGCGAGGAGGAGTCGGCTGAGGGCTCGGGCTCGAGCCGGCGGCGCGGGCTCAGCTTCACCCGACGAAGCAAGAGGACGGAGGTCTCCAAGGTCCAAGACGACTCAGAAGAGGAGAAAGAGAAGGAGAAGGAAAAGGATAACAGGGCGAGCAAGATGAAGCGTAGCGGGAGCTTCGTGGTGCTCAGCAGCCGGCTGGACAAGAAGACGGGCGAGAGCGGCAGGAAGCTCTCGGGCAAGGATGATTCGGAGACGAAGCCGGCCTCGGGCAGCGGCAAGGTGCGGAAGCGATCGGAAGGTGACGCTGCGGCCGCGGCGGCCGCGAAGGCGCCGCTCTCATTCGGGAGCGAGGGCTTAGGCTCTCTTGACGAAGACGACAACGATGAACACTGAGAGGGCAACGAAGCAAGAAGAGATCTTAGGCAGCAGCTCCCTCGTGAGGGAGCAATGCAATTGTACATTTAAGTTTTGGTACAACCACGACCCTGCAACCAACAAGACCACACCCGAGTTGTTGGGTTTCAGGCTTTTTCTTGGAACCCCCACTCCACAAATCTTCCGTTTTGGCCCAGGCCTCCATCCGATCTTCCCCCTCTTGCAACACCGCACAGGTTCGCCCAGCTTATGTGGCCACATGTAGATTGATAGGATTGATAGGATTTGATTTCCCTTCTCACGATTTACAAATGCAGATAGAATTGAACAGGTATAGCATGGCAGGCGAACAACAACAACCTGGCGCGCCCACCCCCTCGGCTGGGGCACTGAAGACCGGAGGGCGGGCTGACACTGCGCAGCAGGCCAAGCAGCCGCGGCAGTCTGACCGTGAGGACTGCATTCCGTGCCACCTCGCCAGCGGAGGCATGATGACCATCGCTGGTCTCTACAGCCTCGTCGGCGCACGACGTGGCACCGATCTCCTCGGTCAGAAAGGTAGGGCTCGCCGTGTCGTGCGATGCGTGTGTATTGTGCGTGTGGCGTCGACTGGGCACTCACCTCGTCTTGGCAGTGACGTCCAAGGGTTGGCTGGGCTTCGTGGGAAGCTGCTTGACGGTGGGCGGCCTGTTCTTTGCGGCGCAGCCATGGCTCAACCCCTACCTCCCCTCGTCCTTGCAATCCGAACGTCTCAAGAAGTGATTCCTCTACGACTTGCACCACCTTGAAGGGAACTCGCTCCTGGTCGTTTTAACTCCACGGATGATGAAGTCCTGGCTGGGTACAGGGACGCTGCACCACCCTACGTTCTTGAGCTTGCCAGAGAGTCGCTACTCGGGTGCGGACGAAGTTGTCGTACCTCCGAGGCGGTGGCAGGCTCTAGCCTGACACGACCAACAAGAGGACTGATAAGAGGCTTCCACACGAGCAGTCCACTACACAAAGGGAGTACTGACGGTGAACAGTTCCCTCCTCCTTGAACACTCTCAAGTTTTAGGGTTGGTCGGGCTTGAAAGCGATTGGGCGCGAAAAGCGTGTCCCTTGCCTCTTTAGTGGGCGCAGGCGCGGTGCTGGTGAAGTCCAAAAGGAGGAAACCGAGTACGAGCGAGAAGGAGGTAAACGCTTCGCTGGTGGCCGCTGCTCGCTACCTCCTACTTGAAGCTCGCGCCATCTACAAGCAATCTTTGCGCCCCGAGGGTCGTTCGATCTGTTCAGAACAGGAGTTGCTGTGCGGCTGTAAAGGTCCGGTAGGTGTTTCTTTTTCCTCTCCACCACAGCTCTTAGGTTGGATCCGATCAACCTCTTCTTGGCTCGGCTGAACGCACACGGCAGCAACGAATTTCCTTTCGGAATCATTCGCAGTCAATCCCAAACCCTCAAATTTCCACCCCGCAAGATGAGGATCACGAACGAGGCCCCCTCACGAACCTCCTTCCAGACGTGCCAAGCAACAAGTTCGAGATTACTCGCGAGATTGAAAGACTGATACCTCGCTTACATCACAGAGCAACATGGAGAGCCGGAGGCCCAGCCGCGTTCGTAAATTGACACAAAAGATGAGCGATTTCGCCAAGGATGAAGAGGCCTCCTCCCTCCTTCAGCTGTTAGATGGACGGCTCCGCCTCGGGACAGAACCAGACGCAGTCGTCAAGGAAGAACGGAACTTGTCCAAGGTGAGCGAGACCGCTACGGCGCTGCGGCGTAGTGGCGGACGAGCAGCCGCGCAGCGCGAGCACAGGGAAGACGAAGGAGAGGAGGAAAGGGCAGACTGGGACCAGTTTCAAGTCCACCCGCTCGACCGAGGCAAAGCGCCCAGCCACCCTAAGCCCAAGCGCGACCAGAGCCGAGCCATGGGAGACGCACCCCCCTCCACCACGAGCAGCGTCGACAGCCGCCAAGCCCTCATCGATCAGTCCATCAAGCAGCACCGACAGGTACCCTTTTTCGAAAGGCCTCCGGCCTCCTTTGCCTCTAATCACCAACAGCTGCGAGTAGACTAACTCCGCGACATCCGGCGTGCAGTTGTTCTTTGGCGTGCCTGTGTCGATGCAGGAGGAGAGCTTCTTGTCGCTGGCCGCGATCTCTTGCTTCTTTGCGGACTCCGACGACGACGAGGGAGCCAGGACAAAGACCAAGGAGCGGCGCGGCCGAGCATTCATGGCCGACTCTGACGACTCGGAAGACGGCAGGCTGCGACTCAGCCGCAGTGCAGGCAAGCGGAACCGCCAGCGCGACAAGCTCCCACACGACGATGTGAGTTTGTCGAAGACCAGCGCAGACCAGGGAGGAAGGAAGAGGAGCTTCAGCGATGTCAGCGCAAATGATCACACGGTGAAGGGAAAGGCCTCTAGGCGGAGCACGAGCGGAGCGCCAGCGCCGGCCGAGCAGAAGAGAAAAGAGAAGAAAGACAAGAAGAGAGACAAGAAGAAGGCCGATAAAAGTAAGCGACACAAAGCCGGCAAGGTATGGGCGCTCGACAACCTGCCGGAGCTGCCGGGTCTGGAGTACATCAAGGCCAACCTCTATAAGTACCCTCTCCTACGCCTTCTCCCTTTTCGCTTGGCCCAGTCCAACCTTAAACGTCAATCGCAGGTGCAGGAAGCCCAAGCTGGAGCGAGCTATGGGGTGCGAGTGCAAAGAGCGTTGCTTGTCTTGCCCGTGCCGGTACGCTCGCTCAACGCTCACTGCCCAGTGATTTACCACCAACCTTCTGCACGTCCGCCCACTAGTGGTGCTCAGATGGAGTGCTGCCACAGCAGCTCAGCCGAAGACCCCTGTAAGTGCTCAGGTACGTCTCAAAACTGGTGGCTTTCTTTATTACAAGTGGACTGTCAGAGGCCTTACCGTGTCCGTTTCAGCCAAGTGCAAGAACCAACGGCTGACGAAGGGAAAGGTTGCTCCCATCGCGGTGGTGAAGACAACGAAGAAGGTATGCTGTTCTGCCTTAGCACGGACACCGCAGCCACATTCGTTACACCAAAGCGACTCACAAGCCTGATCTTGCGACAGGGTTATGGTGTGATTGCGGATGCCACCATCAAGCCTCGTTCGCTCATCATCGAGTATGTGGGAGAGGTACGTGGAAACAGCGCCGTATTGGTACGACTCAATGCCCAACTGTCCGCTGACCGGAAGTTCATGTGCTAGGTCATCTCCGAAACCGAGAAGAATCGTCGGATGAAGCGGAGGGACGATGACGGCAACTGCTACTTCATGGAGCTCTACTCGCAAAAGGTCTCCATGCAAAGAAGATCTTTGTACGTTCTTTTTGAGTAGCTTTCATCCTTATCGCCTCGGCGCTCTTATCAGAATGACTGACGACACGCCGACGCAGCCCTAAGCGACCGACCAGCGGTGGAGAGGTCAAAGACTCACCTGAACCCGAGGACTCGAAGGAAGACCGCGAGAGCGGCAAGGCCAAGAAGAAGAAGAAGTCCAAGCCAAGGACCGAGGAGGAGATCCGGGACAGGAAGAGCCGGAAGGGTCTCAAGCTAGCCTGCAGCAACTGCCGCATGTCTCATCTTGCCTGCTCGCACGAGACCCCGTGCAGCCGCTGTGTAGAAAAGGTGTGAGCCCAACCCTCTCGCCCCTTTGTGGGCGTCATCGTAGCGCAAGCCAAGAACTCACGCTTGCGATGAATGTTGGCACAGGGAATGGCCGATTCGTGCGTATTCATTCCGAAACGTCGCAGGCGCACCTACCAACAAATCGAGGAGGACAAACGCAAGGAGCGAGAGAAGGAAAAGAAGAAGCGCGCACGGGAGAAGAAGAAGCCGGCCAGCGCCAAGGAGGCCGTGGCCGAAAGCAAGGCGGAGCGGGCTGCTTCAGATGACGAAGAGAATGAAGCGATGAACGTCGATGCGCCGGAGGAGAAGAGCCGCGCCGATGGAGACGCGGACAAATCGGTAGACGAGCCCATCAAGACGAAGAGCGAAGCCGTAGACGATATCAACGACGAAGGCAGCGAAGAGGAAGCACTGGCGCAGCTGCTCTGCGCGATGCCCACGCGGGTCGGACTGTTCGGCGGCGCCACCGATAGCGATGGCATGGCCACGAGTGGCCAGGAGCGTGGAGCTCCCCGCGCCAAGGGCAACGACGATGGCGAGGATGAGTACAAGGACGAGGGAGAGGACTACGCTGACTCAGATGACTACGAGAGCACTGGCGACGAGGAAGATGGCGAGTCGAGCCGTACCGATGGAGGTGTCAAAGCCGGCGCCATGATCAGGAGGTGGTACATCGACGCTGCGGAGAAAGGCAACGCGGCCCGCTTCATCAACCACTCCTGCCAGCCGAACTGTGTCGTTGAGCGGTGCGTGACCACCCACTCAAGACCATGCCTATCAAACGCGTATTCACGTGCCGAGCGTGGTGGGGTTTAGGTGGCAATGCGGTGAGCAGATGCGCTTGGGCATCTTCGCTGCGGTCAAGATCAAGAAAGGGGAAGAGATCACCTACGACTATGCATTTCAGTACGACTACGCCGAGTACGTTGGTGGTGGCGCACATCCTTGCCTCGGTCCCTTCGTTTCTGATCAACCTTTTTGTGCCCCCTTCTTCGCTTTCCTCCTGACAGGCGCGACAACAACAAGAAGGGCAAGAGGCGCGAGTGTCACTGCGGTGCTGCAGAGTGCGTGGGCAAAATTTGAAGCTTTCGCACCATGCGCATACTCAAGACTCGTGGTGTGTACGCAGTTGTATTGGAATATTAACAATCAAGTGGAGTGTAAGAGTGCGTATGTGTGGAGGTGCTTCTTCTTCTTAGACGAGGACATAGCCGTGTCTGTCGTGGTCGTGGTGGTGATGGTGGTGTCCCAGCTCGTCGTGGTACACGCGCCTCCGTCGACGGAAGCAGATCCAGCAGCAGCACGCGCAGAGCGCGAGCGCGCACGCTGACGCGCCGCCCACGGTGATGCCGATGATGGCGCCCACGCTCAGGGCGAAGTCGCGGCCTGGGTGATGGTTGCTCGGGCACGCGAGCGCGTTCCACCGTCGCGTGCACTCCTGGGTCGACCCGACGCACTTGCCCTCGACCATCACGCACTCGTGGCAGCGGCCCTCGTCGCCGTGCTCTCCGCACCATCCGCAGTTGCCGAAGCTGCCCGACTGTTGAACGAGAGAGAGCGAGAGAGAGAAACCATCAGCCCTGGTGCTCATCGCACACAACACGACACACAACACGACACACGCGTAGGACACGAACCAGGCAGCGCCCGCAGGACTTGGCAGCGGCGCAGGTGGCCGCCGGGGCGGCTTCGTCGTCGCTGTTGGTGGGCCGGATGGGGAGCAGGGAGTCGGTGTAGTCCTGCGAGTTGGCGTCGGTGGCGGGCTCGATGGAGGGCGGCTCATCTTCTGATGAGGCCAAGGCTGATGCTGAGAGGGCCAGCAGGCCCAGCAGCAGTAGCGCGAGGGAGAAGAGAAGAGGCTTCATGATGGCGACGTCTCGTTCTCAGATGATCGTAGCTTGCGAGCAGGAGAAGGGGAGAAAGGGCTGATATCCTTCGACGTTGTCGAGTCGTGGGTGGTGGGTGAGTTTTAGAGTAAGAGGTGCTTTCCGTCAAGCAGCCGCTCAAGTAGTGCCGGGTGGGGGGAAGGTGGTGAGGAACGGAAGAAAGTTCAAGTGCTCCTGGACGAGAAGTACCTGGGTCGAACGAAGGCGGCTCTGAGCTCCCTTTTCTTCTCTTCCACAGAACCTCACGCAAGCACTCTTGATCGATTGAGAACTGGGGCTTTATGAGTTCTTGGGATGACGCACGAGGTACTTCTGCTCGCGCGTTGTGAGAGACAGAGCCGTCGATGGAAGGGAGGCGGGGAGGGAATACTGCAGCCGATGCCACAGCTTGAGCTGGTCCTTGAACATCATGAGGTTGGAGGCCACGGCCGATCGCTTCCTGCCCACAAATCGCCAGGCCTCCTCGAAGTCCCACTTATTGAGCGCCATGAGGTATGCGATAACGAAGGAGGCGCTACGCGAGATGCCGTATTGGCAGTGCACAAGCACGGCCCCCGCTCTTCCTGCCCTCCTCGATGAAGGCGATCGCCTCAGGCAGTAGCGGCAAGATGGGATAGCTTGGGTTGTCTTCTACGTGGAGCTGCTTGTAGACCAGTTCTGATCCATGTTGCTCATAGGTGTAGTCGTTCAGATGCGCCGCTATGAGGACGTGGGTGATGCCCCTCGCCTTCAGCTGATCAAGTGGCGCAGAGGCCGCCTCCTGACTGCCAAGATACAAATTGTCGAAAATCGCATCGGCCTCGCTTCCGAACTGATCCTTCGCGTTCATTGTTGCCCTGGTTTGGTTGGTGTGTTGGTACCTTCATCTCACCAGCCTTTTTCCATTCACGCAAAGGATGCTGACGAAACGATTTCCAAGTCGGCATAACGATTTTATTGTGATTATTAATATTAATTTAGATCTTTATTGTGCGAGTTCGGGTGGATTTGCGTCCTCCGAGCAATACCGTGGCGGAGCAAGAGCGATGAAGAAGACGAGTACTCACCGTTCTTAATCTGCTTTATTAGCAATGGCCTCTGGCCATCTAGGACTTTTTCTTGTCTCCTTCGCCTTCATTCTTTACCTAAATCTTTTGTTGCGATGTTCGTCCAAACACCACAGAATCCACGAACGTGGCACACCGGAGGGATGAGCCGCGGTGGCTGAGCGCGCGCGAGGCCAAGAGGCATACCGAGCAGGTCTTCCTGGCGCTCAGCGTGGCCTGGATCACTGTCTTTGGCCTCGTCACGGTACGCACACAGCTCCGGTCGACCTCCTAACCCGCCAAAAGACCCCTCACCACTACTTTGGCATGTGCGTGTGCGGTGGTGCGTGTGTCGCGTGTCGCGTGCGTGCGGTGGTGAACACTGTGTGTTGGCAGGCGACGCAAGTGTACAAGCAGTTCGGCGACTTTGAGTACATGGCGCTGGCGCTCGGCATCTCGCTGCCGTTCCTCTTTGTCCCGCTCCTCTTCCCCTCGGCCGCCGAGAAGAACACGCCCATCACCGAGAGATACTTCTTCAAGGCACGCCGTACTCTCGCCAACAGCATTGGCCCCACTTGAGGGCCATAAAAGCTCAAGTTTAACCTATGTGCGGCGTGCGGCGTGCGATGTCGTGTGTGCGCACGTGCAGGCGAATGTGTGGATCTGGCTGTTCGGTTTCGTCGGGAACTACTTCTGGACGCACTACTTCTACAAGGTGCTGGGCGCCTCCTACTCCTTCCCGGTCACCATCATGCTCAACGACGTACGTCCAACCCCCGGCGCTCCCTTCTCCCTATTGTGTGGCGCCTCGGACCTAAAACAAACCCTGCGCCAGGTGCCCTTCTTCCTCTATCTGATCACGCACGCCTACTTCTGCTCCTATCACACGGTCTCCACCATCCTGCTGAGGCGCTTTTGGACCAGGTACCTTCACCGCGTGTGCGGTGGTGTGTTCCATGTTGTGCGCTCTGATGACACAATCTTCTGATAAGCGCTCGTTGATGTTGTATTCGAGCTAGCTCGTGGTACCCTTCGAACGGTGTTCTGCGCTTCATCGTCAGTTCGCTTCTCATCTTCGTGATGTCGGTCATCACCGCCTTCATGGAGACCTACACCATCTCTGAGGTACTTCCTGGCGTGCACCGCGCTCCTCGCGTCAGCAACCTGACCGCACGCACGCACCACATCGCATGAACTAAACCATCCCCCCCGCCCAAAGGTGCCCTACTACTCCCATACCGACAAGTTCCTCATGTACACGGTGGGCTCGGTCTTCTACGCGATCTACTTCTGCGTCTCCTTCCCCATGTTCTACAGGTTCCTCCTTCTCCACTCCATCGCCGGCGTCCTCTACAATAGCGCTGGCGACTCACCTGGTTCTATGTCTCCGCACCGCACACGCACGCAGGCTGGACGAGGAGGCCGGGGACAAGTGGGACTTGCCGCGGGCGACGATCGACTCGCTTGCTGCGGGGATGACGGTGACCATCTTCCTCGACTTCTGGCGCCTTCTGCTCCCCTCGATCGAAGGCTCCGCCCTGGCGTGGAAGGGCATCCCCTACTTCGACTGAGTACTACGGCAGGTCGCATTTTATTCATAAATAAAAGCAACAATACCACACAGGCCGAAGATGAAGAAGGAGAAGTGCGGATGTGAGGAAGAATCGCGAGGGGGACATGATGATGACGGACAGGCCTCCTTGTTCGTGGCAGAGGAGGTGGGGTTGGCGATTTTTGCGCATCTCGCACCGCTTGATCTGCTGCGGTCGGCTGCGCCCGTGTGCCGTCGCTTCCACCGCTGGGCACACGATCCCGCCCTCTGGCGCGGCCTACTCGCGCACCAGCTCTTCATCGCTCCCTCCTGGGCAGCATCCTCTCAGCTCCATCTCATGCCTTCTCTTCCATTTTCCTACACTGATCCGCGATCTTCATCGATCCCAGCTCCATCATGTACTTCGCCACCAGCGACCTTCGAGGAGTGGTGGTGCCGCCTCGAGGCCTTGAGGCGTCACACGCACGAGCTGCAGCGCCTGCTGCTGCAGGCCGCCCCGAACCCCACCTTCTTCCGCCTGCACGCCGACTTCTACTTCCTCCCACCCACGCTCGCCCCACTCGCCTGTCTCACCTCCTCCACCTGCTCAACCGCCTCTCCATCTCCATCTTCATCTTCACCATCTTCTTCATCTTCTAACCTCAGCCTGTTTCCGCTCTACTCAACATCCGCGCTGCCACCACCTCCGCCAGCACCCTCATCGTCGACCTCGTCACCTACGCTGCACCATCTCGAGGACGTGCTGGCGGCGCTGGCCTTTGACGCACCGCAGCTGCAGCGGTTCAGAGACGCCAGCACCATGGCCAGCTGGTTCAAGCTGCAGCTCTCGGTGCGCATTCACGGCGGCCGCGGCGTGGGTTCGGTCGAGGCTGCTCTGCGCAACGTCCTCCCTCGGCCACCTTCCTCTGCAACGCTGACCGATCGGTCATCGCCAGATGGAGAAAGAGAGCGGTCGCTGCATGCACTGTACCACTTGCAGAAGAAGCACGCCACGGCGTCGGGCGTCCTGATCCTGCACCACGACATCAACGCCCTCGTCCTCATCCGCATTGGCGACTACGACTAGCTTTTCCATTTCCTTTTCTTTACAAAAACGAAAGGAAAAGAAAGAGAAATTTTATTTACCTATTATGGTGTTTGAACGACCGACCGACTGGCAGACTACAGCAGAGCCAGAAGCAGAACAAGATGGTACCCTCCCCCCCTTGGGTTTTGGTTCTGAGGCTGGCGAGAGGTTGTATGACACCTAATGGATCAATTAGGGAGCGGCGAGCGTGAAGGGAATGGTGATGATGGAGACGATCTACCCATCGAAAGACGGGGTGACCATCTTCGAAGATCCCAAGCTCAAGCAGCGCCTGGTCAAGGAGATGAAAAAGGGCAACATCAAGCCTCCTTCCATGTCCGACTCCCTGGGTAATCCCCCCCCCCGCGCGCTTCCAGCAGGCTTGGAAATGCTCAGCTTAGCTGTGGGGGGCGGCTGCAGACATTGATGAAGACATGGACGTGGTCGTGGACGGCATTGCTGCCGAGGTGTGGCGATACTACGACCCCAAGAACACCGGCCTGATGAAGAAGACGGCCATCCAGGCGTTCTTCAAGGGTACGCCTCTTCGCGACGCACAAGGAGAGAATTCCGAAGGAGACGAGAAAAGCTGACTCCCATGAACAATGCAGACTGTCTGGACCTGTACGCTATGCGCGCGCGTAAGGATACCAAGATGATGCTGGCTCCGGGAGTGACTATGAGCGCCGCCATGGAGGTCGCGGTCCGAGGGCTCGACCAGTCTGGCCAGGTACGCACACAGCACCCCTGCTCTGCCCTGGGCTCAGATCCTGTCCTGCAAGCTCACATTGATGTCGAACCACAGGGCATCCGCGAGAGGGACTTCATTGACTACCTCAACGAGTGCGACATGGAGGAGATCCTGGCCCCCTTCCTGGGCACGCAAGGTACGCGTACCAGTACTTGATGCAACCCTCACCCATCATCAGAGGTGGTCCACTCACCACTCCACCTCTAATCCACAGGTCAGGTGAACATCAATTCGAGGCTGCCGCAGAGCATGATGTTCGACCCCTCCATCCTCTCCGCCTCCGACTTCCAGGCCCGCGCTCCCGTGAAGCTGAGGGACTACGGCCAGGACTAAGGCCTGCGTGTACTTCTTTTCTCTTTTTATTTGTTTTGCTAAATCAACAAAAATGATTCCAGCTCCAAGCAATGCAACATGGCAGCAAAGATGATGAAGATGAAGGTGTAAATCGAATAAGGCACTCCACACTGTCCTTGTTTGTGGATGATTCGGAAGGAGAGGAGGATGAAGGATTAGAAGAGTTGGAAGATGTGCGATTTGTGCATCCGTCCGGCCCCGACCTGACATCGCTCACCATCACCGGTCCGCTGTCGTCGCTGGCCATGGATCGCCTGCTGGGCGCGGGCCAGCGGCTGACGCGAGTGCAGCTGAGCTATGGCAACCTCACGCAGCTGCCCGTGGAGATGTGCTACGCGCTGCCCAATCTCGAGAGCCTCAGCCTGTGGAACAACAAGATCGCGTCCCTTCCGCCCCAGCTGGCCCTCCTCACCAACCTCACCGAGCTCGATCTCACTCGCAACTGCCTCACATCTCTTCCCGGACGCATCGTCGAGGTAATCGATTCATTTTTTAACCTTTTTGTTTTAATTCATTTTTATCATTAATTCATCTTGGACTGCTTCGTGCACGCAGCTGGTGGCGTTGCGTTCGCTGCAGGTCGAGGGCAACAGGCTCGAGTGCTTCCCGGTGGAGGTGGGCCGCATGGAGCGGCTGATGGCGCCCCAGGGCCGCCTCTTTACCACCACCAACCCGCTGCTGTCGCCCTCCCTGGTCGACCAGCAGCGCGCCCTGCCCAAGTCCCTCCCCGCCCAGCCCACGCTCAAGGAGCTCGCCGCCCGCGTCCTCCTCACCTCTCGTTCATCACCATCACCATCACCATCTCCGCCTTCTTCTTCTTCCTCCTCCTCCTCCCCTTCGTCTTTGTCTTCTTCTGCATCATCACCATCATCTCCACCATCGCCAGCTCATCAGCCGCGCTTGCCGGTCGATCTGGAGCGCTACCTGGACGAGCACGCGCGGTGCTCTGTCTGCGGGCGCTTCGTGTGGGCGGTCTTCGTGGAGGAGCTGCGCTATCGCGTCATCCGCTTCCGCCACATGCCGGTCGTCTATCGCTGCTGCTCCCTCACCTGTCTGCAACGCATCGACGACCATCCCACATGATGAAGAAGGTGATGATAGACAACAACAACAGAGTAGAAGCAACACATAAATACTTATATTGGAGCTTCCACATAACATACACAACCCAGCCCGGAGGGGGGATTAGAGGATTTCCGAGCGGTCGGCCTTTCTGGGTTCGATCTTGAGGGACGTGCTGTACAGTTCGGCCTCCTCCATCGACGGGAACCGCTTGATGTACTCCCAGATTTGATGGATCGGATAAAAGTTGTAGGGCAGCAGCTGTTGTTGGCACGCCACACACGCCACACGCCACACACCACAATCAGGCCAAATAATCAATAATCACGTATAGCACACATGTACATGAATGTGTGTACCTGGAATTGCTGGATTTTGGCGATGACGGTGTAGATGAGAGAGCGCTTGCTGAAGTTGATCAGCTCGTTGACGTAGTCCGGGTTGCCGTCCTCGATGAACGTGAGATCGGTCAGGTACACGCCCCTGCCAGAATAGGTCATGTGAGCCATGAGTGTCGCGTGTGTCGTGTGTGTCGTGTTGCGTGTCATTTCAGGTCTGGTACGCACAGATAGGGAAGACAGGGCGGGCGAGCTTGGAAGAGAGCCCCACGGTAGGTCTTGTAGGATCCCTCGTTGCTCATCAGCCGCTCGCACTCCGCAAACTGCGGCCAGATGCCCTTCATCACCTCCTCTTTGGTCCACTTGAGGCGGTGGACCGCCGACGCGTTGATACCGGCCACCACCGCCACCATGGTATTGAAGTTGTTCATCTTTCGCAGAATCTGCCCGCCCGATCCATCACGAGTTAGGCCGTGTGTGTGTGTGTGTGATAGAAACGACGTACGTCGGCAAGGCGCAAAAATTTGGTCATTACTTTGACGCGCTGGCGGATCTTCTCGGAGCCCACAATGCTCGTGGCGACCCAGTTGGAGATCTCGTTAAATCGTCGAATCATCTTCACCACGTTCGGCGCCCTAAGAATTGTACGAGGTGGGTGCGGCCATGAGTGTGTGTGTGTTGTGTTGTGTTGTGTTGTGTTGTGTTAATTTGTTACGTCGTGCGTGTCGCGTACCGATGTCGTTGCTTTGGTTTGTTCCAAACCTGGTTGAGCAGCTCCGAGGGCTGCACAAGGCAAGAACCAAGGGGAGTGAGCTCCAACCAATCGCCAGTGCGTGCGTGTGCGTGTGCGTGTGCGTGTGCGTGTGCGGTGGTGTGTGCGTGTGCGTGTGCGTGTCGTACCCTAATGGCGCGGAATGTCTCAAATTCCATGAGCGTGAGCTGTCGCGCGAGTTCCTCGTCGTTGATGTCCATGAGGGACAGCGAGGGCGAGAACACGTTGCGGGGCACCTTGGGCTCCGGCGGCGGCTCGGTGATGGTGGCCGGCGGAATCTCCCGCTGCTTCATCTGGTGTTGGTGCATACCAAGGCCGGTCAAGTTAAGGTGGCGGCTCGAGCCGTGGTGAAGGTGGCGCTCGACGTGGCATGCAGGGTACCTTGCGCGCAAGGGCGGCCGACATGGCCTCGGCGAGCACCACGTAGCCGTCGGGCTTCAGCGTCGTCTCGAGGAAGGTCTTGAGCGTCCGCAGCAGGCGCGTCGACGACAGCTCGTCTTCGAATTCCTCGATCCATTTCCGCAGCACGTTGCACACCTACACACACACACACAAGCGCGCGCACCAGCCGAAGGGAACAGAGGCAACCAACCAAGGTTCAAATCTTGGAGATGATGCAAGTGGTGGTGGTGGTGGTGGTGGTGAGAGTGGGTACCCGCAGACGAATGGGCATGAGGGTGGTCGTGTTCCAGTCCTCTGGTCGGATGTTGGGCGGCTTCCTGTCTTGTGGCACGTGGTACCTGCGCTCATGATAGGCCCGGTTGTGAGCTGGTGGTCAGTGTCTACTGCGCTCTTTGCGATTTGAGACGATGATGATGGTGATGATGGTGGCGATGGTGGCGATGATGGTGGCGCTGGTGGTGATGATGTAGTCCTGCGCACGTACCGTTCGATGAGTTTGTGGAGCAGCTTTTCAGCGGTCGTGAACGTGGTGTAGGTCAGCAGGAACGTCTTCAAGAACGTCATGTCTGTGAAAACCGATTTCGGCCAAACAATGAATATCAATTAATTAAGAAAAACTATTGACGATTGAATAAATATTAAATTACCAATTGTAGAGAATTAAAAAAATTGTTTTTGTTGATTTAAAAAAATAAAAATGGATGGAGGGTGTTACTGGGGTTGGCTGGTGAGGTGAGGTTCTCGACGAGCTTGTTGAGGCTGGCCGAGTGGATCGACTTGGGCTCGTTGTCCTGCGGCTTGTCGCTCCACGTGATGTTGCCCGTCACCGGTTCTTGCCAAATATTGACGTCCTTCTCCAGTGGTTCTGTTTGTCGTGTGCGTGTGCGTGTGCGTTAGTAAAAAAGAGCGATGAGCGACAAGGAGGAAGATGGTGCCGTCACACCTTCTTCGAGCATTTCGAGTTCGTTGAGGTGTTCCTCGAGGTCGTCATCGCCCTGCCGGTCCATGTGCGACTTGTCGGCCACGGTGAGGTCCCAAATCCGCTCCGTGTCGCGTAGGGCGATGCGCACGAGCGTCACCAGTCGGCTTTCGTTCAATTCGTTTACCATATCTGCCGCCACCGACCAACCAACAACCACATGAGACACAGACAACGCACAACGCACGACACGCACGACACGCACGATGACAACACACGCGCAGAGAACGTGTGACGTACAGTCTGTGTTGGTTTCGCCGGAGAGGACGTGTGCGGAGTGCTTGAGGCCCTCGTGGTAGAGGTGCTGCATGATGAGCTGAAGAATCTTGCCCTTGTCCAGGTACATGTCCTCGCCCACGATCATCGTCCCTTTCGGCTTCGGCCCCTCTTTGCCTGCCCGCCACCGAAATAATAATTATAAATTAATTATAAATTATTAACATATTGTGAATAATTAGAAATAAAAATAGAAGGTGGTACCAGAGTCGGGGGTAGAGGGAGCGTTGTAGGTGCGACCGAACGCGACGGCACGCGACACGGGAGAGATTCTAGGGAGAAGATTGGGGAGGTGAGCGATGTGAGAGAGAATGAAGACGAAGATGGTTTTCTCGTCGTTAAAAAGAGAGAAGACGAAGCTTCGCACCTCTCCTTGAGGTTTTGCAGTTCTGGGTGCTTGCGCAGGGCCTTCTGCAGCCACGCGGAGCGGTCGATGCCGTCGTCATCTTCCTCCGCCTGTGCGATCATCGCCACCGGAAAAGTTAGGGCCACGACGGCGGCGGCGGCGGCGATGACGATGATCGGGCCACCACAGACCGATAGCGTACCACAGCATTCGGGCGGTGTCGTGTCGCCGTGAGCAGCGACACGTATTTGTTGGCCGACAAGTGGAAATGTTGCTGCAGCTGCGTCTGTTGTGAAGAAGAGAACCCCTCACGATGAGACACAACCACACACACACACACACACACACACACACACACGAGAGAGAGAGAGAGATTACCTGAATGGAGAAATCCTTGCGCGGGCGCGAGAGGTCGTCGAGATTGCTGGCGGAGGCCGAGATTGCCGAAGAGGAGAGCGACGGGGCGCCAGGGATGGACGTGTAGGACTTGGTCGACCGCAGCGAAAACCGGTCCGGCATCGACAGACCGCCGGCCGAGGGCAGCGAAGGCGACGACGACGATGACGATGACGTCGACGCGGTCTCGGTCGACGATGTCGTGTGTGGTGAGGGCAGTGTGTTGTAGGACACGCTCCGCCGGTTCTTCTTCCTCATCTTCTTCTCCTTCTTGTTCTTTCTTCTGTCGTGGTCCGCCGCTGATTGTGGTTCGCCGTTGCCGTTGTCATCGCGCGGCGACGATGGCGTGGACGACGGCGGCGATGACGACGTCACCTGATGCGCGGACGCGGCCGACCCTAACGACGAGCCCGGCGGCGCCGGCGGCGGCTTCTTGGTCTTGGCGGCGTGGCGCAGGGATCCGTTGATGGCCACGGGCGAGGGCGGTGCGTAGCGCGGGGAGCGCGCGGGCGACGGGAGGCCGCGAGGCGAGCGTGGCGAGGGCGAAGAATGCGGAGAGGTAGGTAGTGACGACGACGACGACGATGATGAAGATGACGATGATGAAGAAGAAGGCGGTGTTGCTGCGTGTTGTAGGCCGGAGGTGGGTACGGAGGGGAGGACCACCCGAGGCGTGGTGGTCTTGGTCGATGGAAAAGAAGAAGGAGAAGGAGAAGAGGCGGAGGCGGCGGCAGAAGCAGAGCCGAGGAGTGGAGAGGGCGGGGTGGGTGGTGGCGCTCGCGCGGCCAGCGATGGATTTTTGGTCACCGCCACAGTGCTTCCGCCCTCAATCTTCGCATGAACAATCCCCCCACTCTCGCCATCTGTCAGACAGAAATTTAGAGTTCAAAATGCAACGCTCGATTGTCGACGAAGAAGAAGAACGAAGCAAATAACAACAATAAACACGCAAATAATAAAAATAATAAAAGCGTGAATAAGAAATAAGTCTATTGGTACCTTGTGGGTTGTATGGGTCTGCAGGTGAAGATGAGATGAAATTAGCGATGGCTTAATCACATCACCCGTTCGGGAGACGACAGCGAGGGGGGGAGGGATGATTTACCTGGCCCAGGGCTCTCCATCTGTGTACCTCACTCTGCGGAGGCTCACCTTTTGGAGGTCCAATAACAATAACTATTTTATTAGCACTAAACAACAAGCCAACCAGGGAGCACCATCAACCTTTATCGTCGACATCACGACAAGGTACTTGCCCCACCGCTGGTGGGGGATCTACACCACCACTGGTCACGCCAGCAGACAACCGTTCTTCTTGTGGGTCGCCCGGGCATGGCTGTCCAGAGGTTTCCGGGGCGGAGCGGTGGCCGTTGCATCGAAGTCGTCGGCCACTTGATGCCCACAGTGGCCGAGGAAGCGCGCCACCTCGTCTCGGTAGCGGGGCCAGTTCATGGGCCAAATGTACTGATGGCCGCCGGCGCAGAACAGCACCTTACGCTTCATGACCCGCCGCTGGCCGCCATCGGCGGCGTCGTCGGCCACCACGACTGCCTCGGTCACCTCGTCGCTCACCCGGGCCTCCGGCTCGTGCGTGCCGTGTCTCTCCGCCACTTGCTGCAGGGCGTCGTCTGGCGGGGCGGTCGCCACGGGTTGGCCTTCTTCTCGCCAGCACGCCCACGCTCGCTCGTAGTTGGTGTTGGCCTCGCTGGGCGGCAGCGCCTGGTCATCTTCGCAGTGCAACAGCAGCACATTGCCCTACGCGACGTGACAGGGTCAGTTTCTCAGTAATGAACGAGCGAGAGCAGCTGTTGACGTGAGTACCCGATAGGGCTGCCACTTGCGATCCAGCGCGAGGACTCGGTCGCATGCAGTGCGCAGGGACGCACGCACCACGTCATGCTTCTCCTCCTCGCTGTCGCCTTGGTTGGCTCAGAGCCCGCGCCGCTTGTCTCCACGATAGAATCGTACAGGCCGAGTAGGTCGGCAGGTGTCATGTGCCGCACCATGAACGGGTACAGATCGCTCAGGCCGCTTTCGACGATGATGCCGCACAGGTCGGGAAAGCGGGCAGTCGCTTCGATCGTGAATACCGAGCCCATGGACCGCCCGAACACTGTGTGCGGCCAAGCTTCGAACGTTAGTAATCTCGATCCCAGGGGACAGCCAGGGCCTATGGGAAGCGAACCGACGACATCGCCCGCAGGAACCGCGAGTGTGTTGAGCACGGCCGACACGTCATCGAGCATTGCGACCATGTGCACCTCACCGCCGGACGACCCGTAGCCCCTGTACTCGACAAACAGCTGTTCGCGCAGCAGGAGATGAGCGGTGGATCAACGGTTGAACGAGATGATTGTGGGCAAGCGACGGGTGCAGGCCAGATCACGCACCACGTCCACTCCCATCTCGCGTAGGCAACCATACAGGGAAGGGATGCCCTCCACTGCCGGCGCCCGAACGTAGGAGGACACCAGCTCGCCGTTGCCGTGGAAGTGCACCACCGTCTTCTTGTTTGGGCTGGCCGTACGTTTAGTTGAGAATAAAAAGATGGAAGAGAGACTGATGGGCGTACTGCTTGTTGGGGCTTCTGTAGTAATAGCACGACAGGGACGGTAGCGTTGGCTCCTCGCCCTTCTCCTTCGAGTCGTGGGGCACCGGTGCCCCCGCCAGGCTGTAGGTGGTCGGTACAGCCAAGGCAAAATGTGGCGGCAGCGGCTCGTCGTCCCTGCGTGGGTAGAACTGGTGACGGCTCACGATGGGATGCCCTAACAGACCCTCATACCACCTCTGCCCCCGCACCACTTCATCTTCTTCGCCCTGCTCCATCATTGCCTTTTCCTTTTATTTTCTCTTTTCTCTTTTAGCATCAGTCCTCCTTGGCGGCGTTGGTGGTGTCTTCGGCTTCGGCGGCGGCCTCCCTGGGCGGTCTGCCCTTGTACTCAAAGGGCACCTCCGGTCGGTCGTTCCTCCAGTCATCCAACAGCTTCTCGTAGTCGATCAGGTACTGACTCTGCTTGGCCGTCCACTCGGCGAAACTGTACGCGCCGATGTGGGCCACACATCACACTGTCAGTACCCGCAGCAGGCTCGACGACGCGTACGGGGGAGGGTGCGTACACTTTGGTCTCCTTCTCGATGGCGGCGATGTGGGTGTAGATCTGCTCGCTCCGGAAGGCCTCCACCTGGTCCTTTATGCCCTCCCACGTGATGGGCTCGTAGCTTCGGCCCTTGCCCTCGTTGTACACCTTGTACACGCACTGTGGCCGGTGGAAACACGCACAATTAATTGCATGAATGAGCTTTCAAATGCCAAGCGCAGCAAGGCTTGAGCGTGGTTGGGGTGAGGTGTGTTGGCTTGTAGCTTGCAAGAGCGCGAGTGGTACCTGCTGCAACAAGAGTCCCTCCGAGGGCGCGGTCGGCACGGGCGCCTTGCGGACAAACGTGGCGTTGAGCACCTCCTTTGGCAGGTTGCGCTTGATCAAGAAGACGATCATGCCTAGATACCAGACATGCGCACACAGTTGAGATGACTGAATGTCCAGGACATGGCGAAGCAATGCGGTGCAGTGATCCCGGATCGTAGCAATACCGATCATGCGGCGGATCTGGTGCAGCATGAAGCTCTGGCCCTGAATCTCGAAGCGCACGAAGTCCACGCCATCGACGGTGAACGGTCCAGAGCACTAATGCACCGCAACGCGCACGTGTGAGTGTTGCAACCCTGGAAGAGATGAAGGCAGAGGGCGCTAGAGGCGGAGAAAGAGGGGCGAGGGAGCTAACCTTGAAGCCGATGATGTATCTCTTGGCCGAGGCGTCGTTCTTGTCCATGCGGATGGTGTAGTTGAAGAAGTTGTTCGTTCCCTTGAACACCTCCAGGTATTCGTTGAGCTTGTCGATCAGCTCCGGCGTGACCTGGTAGTCCGGGATCTCCACCGGCACTACACCACAACACCACGCGACGCCACACAAACATAGCTTAAATATCTGAGGCTCGCCTCAGCACCTGATCTAGGCCTGTGTCAACGCACCTGCAGCTCGGCAGCGGCGGCTTCACCTTCTTCGGCCGCTGCACACAGGGAACAGACGTCAGGGCTGAGCGTGAACAGGAAAAGAGGATGGGGAGGCGGCTGAGTGCAGGTGGGCGAGCAACGCGTACGTTGGGGCTTGGGCTCCTCGGGGGCGAGGATGTAGCCGGGCAGAAGGTACTCGTAGATACGCGAGTCGACGCTGTTCTTGGAGTCGAAGCCGCCCGTTGTGCGACGAATAGCTACAGCGAGAAAAAGAGCCAAGCACATGAGGTCAGCGTCGCTGGTGTGTGTGTGTGTCGTGTGTGTGTGTGTGTGTGGTTACCAAATACGCGGATGTCGTCGGGCAGGTTGGCGTTGATCCTGTCCAGCACGCCCGGAGGGTCGAGCACCATGTGCACGCAGAAACAGACAAGACAGATTAGCAGCAACAACTACAACAGCAGCAGCACGTCCCCCTCAACGCATCGCAATCGCCGGCCCACTCACTCCACCAGGGCCACACTCACACTTGACACTCACACTGGGTGCACCTATCTTTAGCGAGACGACGTTGAGGCACGCATGCACGCCCTTGTCGGTGCGAGCGCAACGCTGCCAGTTGACCTTGGTAAAGGAGCCGGCGTTCCACTCGTCGATGCCGCCGGCCTTGACGATGGCCCGCTCGAGTTCCGATTCGATCGTCTTGAACCCAGGGTTACTGCAGTTCGTGTCCATCAGATGGTGGGTGGGTGTGGTGTCGTCCCATGCGCCCTGTGCGGCGTGTGCGGTGATGTATGCACGTCGTGTGGAAGGCGTGTACCGCTGCAAACCGACGTAGTTGGTGCCCTTGTAGCCCAGCAACAGACCCACCTTTCGCTTGGGGTACCGCACCTTCTTCTGGTCGCCTCCATCCGCTGAAGAAATAGATTAAATAAACAATAAATAGTAAAAGAATCAGGAGAATTGATTTGATGATTATAAAGAAGGTACCGGCCAAGTCGGTCTCCTTCTCCTTGTCCTTGCTGTCCTCGAGCTTGGGCTTCTTGGCGTCGGCAGCCACAGCCGACTGGTCCTCCGGCGCCGTCTGTGCCGTCGCCTCGCCCGAGGCAGCAGGGGCCTCTGCCACTGGCGTGGACGTGGTGGTGCCTGCAGGCTGTTCCTCCTCCTTTTGATTGATTTCGTCAAAGGCCCTCTTCATCTTGAGCTCCGAAAGATTTACAACCGACTGTTGAAAATGGCTAGCGTATCGCGATTGCGGGAGATGATGGCGAGCGAAGAGAAGGCCCGAAGGTGGAGGAGGAAGGGAGGGCGAAGAGGAGATCAAAAATCGAAAAATGCTGCCCCGCTTCACCTTGGCTGATCGCGATCTCGAGATTGGTTTGAAACAACTCCGAGAAATCTTTCGAAAGAATTTTGTTTTGGGGTTTCAATTTGAAATTACACAGCCCAGGCCAGGGTTGGTGTGGAATGGATTGTATGTTACAGCTGCCTCACAGGAGCCTTGTCTTGCGTGTTGTTCATCGTTTCGTCTTGTCTCGTTTCGTTAGCTATGTCCTCTTCCTCATTCCTCCTTTTGCACGTTCTCGCTCCCTCATTAATCAATCACGCCACGCCGTCGGCCGGTTGGGCCTCTCCTCCGAGTGTTGTTGGTGTTGTTCGGAGGCTCTGGAATCTCACAGGTCGGGCGTACCACACACGAGGTGGAGGAGGACTGGAGCTGCAGCGCTCCCTCCTCGTCAGGAGAGTACACACTTGACGCCGCCGAGCGTGGGTTTGGAGACTCCGACGCGCGACCCGCGCTTGCTCCCCTTCTTGTCGTCCTTGCCCCGCCTCGGCGAGTCGAGCATGTTGTTCTGCTCCTCCTCCTTCTGTCGGATGAAGTCCATGTTGGCCCTCATGTTCCTCACCAGCTGCGCGAAAAAAGAGAGGCATCAGTTTCACCGGCACCACCGCAGACAAACACCAAACACACGCAATGGAACACGCATTGGTGTCGTACCGTGTTGAAGGCCTCTTCCACGTTGACCCTCGTCTGCGTGCGTGCGTGCCCAAATCGAGCGCGAACAAAGGGCGGTGAGTGTCAGCAATTGATGCATCAACGGCTGATAGCGCCCGTGTTGCTAGGTCGAGTTACCTTGGCTGACGTTTCGAAGAAGGGACAATTTAGCTTCTGGGCGAGCGCCTGTCCGTCTTCCTTCGACACCTCCCTCGCGTCCTCCATGTCCGCCTTGTTACCACAGATCACGACCGGGTATCCATCTGATATCAACCCACACCAACACCAACCCACCACGCACCACAAAGGTCGCCGACCAATCAGCGGACCGAACACCAACTATCTTCGTGTGCTGGCAATCTCGAGTTTTAACACGTACCGGAATCCTTCACTCGTAGGATCTGATCCCTGAAGCTGGGCAGAGAATTGAAAGATTCTCTGTTGTGTGTGCATGTGCGTGTGTGCGTGTGTGGTGTTGGATGCTGGGTTCAACCACACGCGGATTCAAAGTAGGGAGAAAGGGGTGAGACGCCGGCGTACTTGCTGGTGATGGCGTAGACGAGGACGAAGCCGTTCCCAGAGCGAATGTACTGACTGCGCATCACACTATACTCCTCCTGGCCTTCACACACACACACACACACACACACACACACACCACCGCGACCACCGAGTAAGACGCTGGTCTTCGCGCGCCAGCACACGACAACGTTGGACTGATGGGGCTAGGGTAAGCTGGCTGTACCTGCTGTGTCGAGGATATCCTGCGTGAAGGCAAGCCGTAACGCAACGCAACGCAACGCAACGTTCAAGGGCGATCATGTGAGACGGTTGTGATGAAGAAAGAATGAAAGGGAAGAGAAGGAGAGCGCACCAGCACGGTGACCATGTCGTCGAGGTTGACCGTCTTCGAATAATTGCTCTCAATTGTTGGGTCTGGAAGGGCGTGGCAGAAAAGAAGGGAGTGCAGTGAGCAAAAAGGCGACAGACACCCGTGCACACCAGAACTGAAAGAGGCCACCAACCAGAGTGCGTAGCGTGGCAAGAACTGAAATAAAAGCGGAACCAATAAAACAATAATAATAATAAATCAAAACAGAAAATGGCGCGTACCATACTCTTTGACGAAGAAGTGCTGCGGCAACAAGAAGTGAAAAACGAGTTGTTAGCGTAACCAAAAATTGTGATAATTATTGTTATTTTTGCCAATAATTATTTTATCATTTTAATTTGCCCTTGGGCATAGCCGTTGGAGGGGGGGGGCGGAAAACGAAAAGCGAAGACGAAAACGAAGCGGGGGGGGAGCGATACTTGAGAGTACTGGATCGTGAGGGCGCTCTTGCCCACGCCGCCCTCGCCAAGAACGACTATCTTAAAAAGCGACATCTACGAGACACGCGTGCAAGGTCTTCCTTCTCGCTTTGCCACTGCAATGAAACAGAAAAACTAGTTTTGGAAAAATAAACTGTAGAGAGCAGTACCACGCCTGGTAACGCCAAGCTTGGACCCCCCCTCACACCGTAACTTCACTCAACCGCGGCCGCGCAACGACATACCTGAACGAACGCGTGGGGCAGTGCCAAGGAGGAGCGGCAAGCGAGAGCGGGGCGAAAAGGGAGGCAAAAGCTCAACTCGCAGTCCCTCAGGAGAAAGTGCCGGTAGGCCCGAAAATGGCGCTGTAGAACCACAACACGACTGTGCGAGCATGACCTGTCATTCATTCCCGCCGCGCCACACACGTGCGTGAGCTTGTTGTGGTTGGAACGTTGGAGCGGCAAGCTTACAAGTTGTGTGACGAACAAGTGCGTCTGCGGCCAAGCTGCGATGTGTCACACTGACCGCAGGCCCGTCAGACTTGCGCCGAGCTCAGTGGAGGTGCTTGTCCTCGAATTCGGAGAGGAAGGTAGTGAGCTCGTCGATGGCCTCCTCGGGCAGGGCGTTGTAGAGCGAGGCGCGCATGCCGCCCACCGTGCGGTAGCCCTTGAGGTTGAGCAGGCCCCGCGCCTCGGCCTCCTTCACCAACTGCGCTTCGAGCGCCGTGTCCCACGTCTTGTCATCGCCACCTAATCCACCGTATACGCACAGGCACCATCGCGTTCAGCCCATCCGGCCCATCGCACACGCGCACACACCACCGCGCACGCACGGGCGGGGGTAGGCGTACCGTCAGAGCCGACGGCGCGCACCCGGAAGTCCACGTTCATGCGCGAACGGAACTCGTTGGTCACGGGCGCGCGGTAGAGCTTGCTTTGGTCGAGGAACGCGTAGAGCTTCTCGCTCTTCCGTTCGTTCCTTCGTCCGATCTCGTCCAAACCGCCGATCTTCAGCTGCACGAGGGAGGGAGGGGGGGGCGATCAGCCAGAGCAGCCCACAAAAAGAAGTGCACAGCGGTCGCTGCGACCTGGAAGGAGAGGTACCAGCCAGTCGAAGCAGAGGCCGGCCATGTAGATGGCGTAGACGGGCGGAGTGTTGAGGCACGACTCGTTCTCCACCATCTTCTTCCAGTCGAACACGCTGGGAATGAAGTCCTTCCAGTTGTTTCCTCCTGGTCACACATGTTTTTTTTATCAACGAGTGGTAAGAGAACCGCACACGCACACGCCAACAGCGCGTTGGCATGTGAAGAAGAGCAAGGGGATACCCTTTCGGTCCTTGACCGTGAGCATGTCATCGCGCACGATGCCGATGGTCAAACCGGCAATGCCGACGTTCTTCTGCGCACCGCCATAGACGACGGCGTACTGCGAGACGTCGACGGGACGCGAGAAGAAGTTGGACGACATGTCCACCACGACGGGTACGTCGACCTTGTTCGCCTCCCGCGCAAAGTAGTCCGCAGGGAACTCGACGCCTGGCGCGCCGCACAACCGATCAGCTCATGGGCTCAGCCTTGATAAACATCCGTGTGTGTGTGTGTGTGTGTGGTGTGTGTGTGTTGGCCTTGGCTGTACCATGCACGGTCTCGTTGTCGCAGTAGTGGAGGTAGGCAGCCGAGGGGTTGGTCTTCCAGGTCGAGCGCTCGGGCACGGTGGTGAAGCCCGAGTCGGTGGCGTCCGCCACGATGTTGACGTCGCAGTACATCTTGGCCTCCGCGGCGGCCTTGGCGGACCAGTTGCCCGTGACGAGGTAGTCGGCCGTGGTCTTGTCGCCCAGCAGGTTGAGCGGCACCGACGCAAACATGCCCATGCCGCCGCCCTGCAGGAACATCACCTTGTAGCCATCGCTCACGTTCCTACAATTGGTGCAAGTGCGACGTAGTCGGTCGACGTCTGTCAGCACCGGCCCGGCCGTGGGCAGTGATGGTGGTGATGGTGATGATGAGTGGCGTTGTGGGGGGCGTACAGGAGCTGGCGCAGGTCTTTCTCGGCCTTGTGCAAGATGGAGATAAAGTCCTTCCCTCGGTGCGACATCTCCATCACGCTCATCCCCGTGCCATTCCTGCCACACATACGCACGAGAGCACAGTGAGCATACACAGGAAGATTTGGCTCGCTCACCAACCTCAGCCCTGAATGCAGATCTGCGGATCAGCTCAGCTCGAGCAGATCTCACGTGTGCGCATTACCAGTTGAGCGTTTCCTGCGCGGCCTGCTCCAGCACAGAGGTGGGCAGCGTGGCAGGCCCAGCGCTGAAGTTGTAGGTGCGCGATCTCCTTCGTTCCTCCTTTGTGGCCATCTTCGCCCTTACCGATTTTTATGTTTATATTATATTTTTTTATTTCCATTTTTTTAATCGTTTTATTTTATGTCTTGCCCGCCAGCGCACGCTGGCAGTGTGCGATGGCCTCCTGCACCTGCTGTCGCTGGACCTCGGCCGCCGGGTGCTGGCCCGGTGACCCGGTGGCCAGCCTGGCTTTCTCCTCAGCTTGAAGGTAGAGCTGGAGATCGGCGATGGCGTCGGCGAAGCGGCCGCCGAACAGGTAGCACTGGCCGCGTAGGAGGCGGACCAGGTGGTTGCCGCCGGCCGAGTGTCGCAGGGCGAGGTCGCAGTCGCGCAGGCAGTCGTCGTACCGCTCCGCCGCGAACGTGCTCGCCGCCCGCTTGCAGTATAGATCGCTAAGCAGCGCTCGATCTTCGCCGAGCATGGCGGCGTCCAGTGATGGCGAGTCGTCGGTCTCCTTGAGCTCGGCGGCGGTGGTGGTGGGCAGCGCGATCTCGGCCAGGTGGATGGCGTGGTCGAGGGCCTCGAGGGCATGGGCCATGTCGCCCGCGGCCTGCAGGTAGACGCCCTTGAAGCTGTGCGCCGCCACCAGGTCCCGGAGCCGCCTCTGAGCCTGCTGCACCTTGATCGGGTCGACTTCCTGTGGTGACGCCCCAGCCTCAGCTGTGCTGGCAGCACCAGTGGCGGCGGTTTCTCCCTGCACAGGCTGCGGCTGTTCTTGCTCCTGCTCCTGCTGCTTTTGGATGCGGTCCCACGCCTCGGTGGCGAAGCGCAGAGATAGGTCGAGCGCCTTCCTCGCAGTCTTCATGTGCCCTTTGAGCGTCCGCACCTTGGCCAGCCCTGCGTCAAGAATGCGAAGAAGGCAGAGAGGCCACAGGCGAGTGAGTACGCAACGGCGAGTGTGCTTCAGCTCTGATGGTGAATCGGGCGGGCATGGGTTGGTACCGAGCCATGCTCCTGCGCTGCGCTCTTCCATGGTGATGATGGCCTTGTAGTCCTCCGCGGCCTCGCGCACTTGCCCACGGCGCAAGTACAGATCTCCGCGCTCGCCCAGGGCGGCCACGTTCTGCCCAACACGACAAACAGAGAGACGGTCGTCAGCCTCCAGCCTGCGTGTCCCAGAACACTCTTAAGAGTGTGCAATGTGTGGTCACGCTCGAGAGGGGCGCGAGGTGGTACCCGCGGGTGTGCGTCCAACACGTTGCTCAGCTGGCTCATAGCCTCGTCCGGCTTGCCCAGAGCGAGCAGGCATCGCGCCACGGCCACGCACGTATGCGGGTGACCAGGTACACATCGAAGCACCTGCAATGTGCCGCCACCACATGCCACACACGACACACACCGCACACGTGAGCTCCCATGTGTCACAAAAGCGAGAGTTGTAGGCACGACGCGCCTCTTGGTAGGCGGCGAGAGCTTCCTCCGGGCGACCGGCACGGGCCAGGAGGTGTGCTCGCGCGGTGTGGGCCGAGGGGAGGTCCGGGTGCTGCGCTGCCACTTGGTCGTAGGTCTGGAGTGCGGCGGCCCACCTGCCGCCGGCCTCCTCGCGTTGGCCGGCCAGCAGCAACGCCTCCGCCTTCTCGAGTTCAGGGGCCGCACCATCAGGCTGGGCACCACCAGCTGTACTGCTGTCGCCAGTGCTCGATCGTTCGGAGGCCGACGATGAAGTTGAAGATGAATTTGGTGCGGATGAAGATGGGGAATGCGTAGTGAGTAGCCGCCCCAAGCATGGAGATCGAGTTGTAAGTGGCAGTGCTGACGTCAAGGCCTGATTTCTCGTAACGCCGAGGCGGCACAGGCTCCTCATGCTTCTCATCTGTTTCATCTTGCAACTGTGCAGCACAAGCAATTTCTTGGAAGGCGATTGTTTTCCAATTGAATTTAAATCTGTACCGGAGGAGATGGCAAGAGGAAGAGGCGGAGGAAGAGGTGGCGGCAGTGGCGGCGGTCGTGGGAAAGGGCCTCGTCGCGCCCCTCGCGCATCACCGGCGGCCTTCGGCGGAGCTTCAGCTTCATCTTCTATCAGCTCAACATCTTCATCTTCATTCTTGGCGATTAACAAATTGCTACACGCTGCCAATTGCAATCCGAAATCGGTCGGTCCCTACACCAACAAGCTCGACATCTTGATCGTGGGCGATGGCGATCTGTCGTTCTCCCGCGCGCTGGCCTACTCCATCGGTGGCTCGCGATTGACCGCCACCTGCTACGACTCCCTCAACGCATTCAAGTCCAAGTACCGATCATCGCTTGCGAACATCAGCGAGCTGAAGCAGCTCGAAGTGCAGACCTACTTTGGCGTCGATGCCACGCGGCTGGAGGAACAGAAGTGGCTCAACGATCCCAAGAAGGCCACGGAGCGGAAGCAGTACCATCGCATCGTCTTCAACTTCCCACACGCCGGGCAAGATGACGAAGAGTCGAGGGCCGCCGCCGTCCCTAGATCGAAGAAGACCAAGACCAAGAAGCCGAAACACGCTGGCGACGATGTTGACAAGAAGAAGAGGAAGCGAGGCGTGGGTGGCGGCAACATCCCTCAGCACGAGATCGTGAAACGGTACGTCATCTGCTCCGGCACCTCGTGTGGTGTGTGTTGTGTGTCGTGTCGTGTGTCGTGTTCTCAAACGGATGTGGCATTCCTTCCGTCGCGAACGTGTTCAGGAACCAGAAGCTGCTCTACGAGTTCTTCGTGTCGGCTGCGCCGTGGCTGCTGCCGGGCGGCTTGGGCCAGATCCACGTGGCCCTCCGCACATCGACGCACTACAAGCAGTGGGACATCGAAGAGCTCGCACGCAAGGCCGGCCTCGTACTTAAGAAGACGGTTCGTGCGGTGGGTGTGGTGTGTGTCGTTGTGTGTGTGTCGGCGTGTGCGTACGATGGAATGTATGTGTGGTCTTTCTAAAACGATGGTACCAATGAGCAGGAGCCGTTCCAAGCATCGCTCTTCCCCGGCTATGAGAACAAACGAACGGCCTCAGCTGACCTGGTTCGCGGCGCTCCCGCCACAGGTATGTAGCGCTGTCGCTATCGAAGCGTGTTGCGTGTCGTGTTGGGCGCGGAGACTGAACGCGAACACCTCGTCTTTGACACAACGGCATCTCTTCTCACACAGATAACGCCGAGATCTACATGTTCATTTGGCCGGGAGCCACCTCGCCACCGCTGCCCCAGTGGCCCACTGAAGTTGAGGAGGACGAGGATGAAGAGTCTAGCGCCGAGGAGGAGGAGGAAGAAGACATGGAAGAGGACGACAATGACGACGGAGATGGAGAAGAAGTGGAGGAGCAGCCAAAGGCGAAAGCGAAGCCGCAGCCGCAGCGACTCTCAAACAGAATCCAGGCCAAGAGGCAGCAGAAGGGGCCTGTCCAGGCCGGCGACGCCGAGGGCGGCAGCCGCAGGGACAATAACAAGCGCAAGGAGAGAGTGGAGGACACGCGCGGCAGCAGCAGCAACAACAAGAGCAAGCAAAGCCAGAAGCAGCCCGCCAACAAGAACAACAAGCGAAAGGAGAGAGATGAGGAAGATGGCGGCGGAAACAAGAAAGGACAGACGAATGGCGGCGGCCCGGCGAAGAAGGCCAAGGTTGACGGCGGCGGCGGCGGCCCGGCGAAGAATGGCAAGGCCGAAGGCGGTGGAGATGGGCTGACGAGAAAGGAGAGACGAGCCCTGCGCGGCGGCGGCCGAGGCGGCCGGGGTCGGGGCGGCGGCAGAGGTGAGGCCGGTGGTCGGGGCGGCCGTGAAGGCGGCGGCGGAAGGGGTCGGGGCGGCGGTCGCGGTGGCGGACGTGGTGGCCGAGGAGGACGCGGCGGCCGTGGGGGCAGAGCATAAGCCACGCACCGTCTCGCACCGTTACGGGTGAACAACAAAATGCAGAAACGATTGCCACCACAACACCTACAAACCTACGCCGTGTCCGTCTGTGCCAGGCGAAGTTTGAGGTGCCAGCCACCGTTGCAGGCCAGGTGCTCGTTGGACGACACTTCCAGTGGCGCAGTCCATCCGCAGTGGCCCTGGGAGAGTGATGCACACGCACATGCACCGGTGTTGACGGTCAGGTTAGGGGGAAAAGCTACAAAATGCAAAAATAAATAAATAAATAAATTATTTGCTTTGTGTGGTTACAAGAGAAGAGAGAAAGCCGTCAATGTACAAAGAGGTAAGAGAACAGAGCTAGCGAGGCGGTGGTTGGCGCGTGGTTGGTTGGATCGCGTTCTCTCGTTGGATGTGCGTCGATGGAAGGTGGCGATGTGGCGATGGTCGTGTCGTCGAGCGGTCGCGTCGTCAGCAGCAGAGATAAATAAAGAGAGGGTGGACCGCCTACAGGTAGAACTGGAACGGAGAGTCGGCAGAGTTGTTCTCGTTGCTGTTGCCCCCTCGCCCACCACCACCACCACCACCACCACCTCCTCCTCGTCTGTTGTTCCCCTCGCCGTTACCCTTGGCCGATGGCTTCTCGCCAGCCTTGAGCTCAAACCTACAGACCGGGCAGGTATTTCTCTGCACACGACAACGAGCAGAAAGAAGAGGTGAGCAACGTAGGAGGGGTTCGTACACTACACGACATACGACACGACTAAACACGCAAAGTTGTGTTTCGTACCATGCCCAGCCACTCTTTTATACAAGTTGGGTGAAAGCGATGCTCGCAGGAGAGCTTGAGGGCCTCCTCGTCGACGGTATACTCGTCCTTGCAGATGGCGCAGTCTTCGTGGGCGTCGACGGCCTCCTGTGTTATCCGCACCGAGGGGAGGGACTCCACGACGTCCTTGGCCGCTGGCGGTGGGCCTCGATCACTGTATAGCAACAGCAAGAAGGGCGGCAGAGTGTGAGCTTCTAGATTGATGTAGAGGGCTGCGCGAGCAGTTTGTACTAACGTGGAGCGAAAAGAAGGCAGTGGTGGGAGCGATCACTTACCCTGCGGTCTCCATGAGGCGAGTGATGATGTTGTCCAAGCTACCGAACGCATAGTCGCCCGGATTGCCGACCATCGGACCGCCATTCAGCCCCGAGAGCATGCTTTGCATGAACCTGTTGGCCGGGTAGAGGGAGCGAGTCAGCACGAAGGACGCGAAGGACTCCGCGAAGAGGACTAAAGGCGCGAAGGAAAGTGAAGACGAGGGTAAATCGTACGCCTGAAAGTTCATGGGAGGCATGCCACCGCCGGCGCCGGTGCTGAAAACTTGCATGACGGGCGGCGCGCTGGCTTGTTGCTGCGTCGGAGCGGCCATTTGCTGCATCATGGTGTCGACTTGCTGCATAAATTGAGCGAAATCGAGAGGAGCGGGCTGGCCGAGGTGTTGTTGAAGAGGAGGAACCGTGCCCGGGTTGCCAAACATCGTTTGGAATTGGAAAGGGGCAGGCTGAGCGAAAGGGAAGAGAGGGTGCTGTTGAGGAGGAAGAGAACTCTGCTGAGGCGTGCTCGCCGGCGGTTGCCCGAAGGCCACAAAGGCGGTGGGGTCGTCCTCTGCAGAGTCCTCGAGTTCTTCGATGAAATCGTTGCCGCACCCTAAGCAGGCAAAATCGTTGCTTGGTCGAATCTCGGCTCGGCACTGATGGCACCAGAACCGTCGCCCGTCAGCGGCGTTTGGTTGAGATGAAGGAGAGCTCATTTTGCTGTGTTGGAATAGGAGGCGGAGAGAGGTGGAAGATGGCCTCGAGAGGAGTAATGCGCGATCCTTCAGTCAAAGGGGAAGTGTGGAGGAGCGATAAGGAGGAGGCTAATCGATGTACAGCCCGGGCCGACTTCAGTTCTTCCTCTCGCAAGCAAAGGGATGAGGTGGCGCCAGCACGCGGCGAGCTGTGAGAGTTGTTGTGTGCGTTTCTCGTGGCAAAACACCGGCGTGACGTGGCGCTTGAACAGGTCAACGAAGTTGGCGGAAATTCGGCGGATTGCAAATTTACTTGGAATAATGGCGCCAAAAAGGGATCAACAAAAATCAGCACGCATCAGCGTACATCAGTGGGAGATGTCGAAACGAAGGGTGGTTGTGACGGGCCTTGGGGTGGTCACACCGCTGGCAACAGGTGTGCAAGCCACCTGGGGGCGACTGATTAACGCCAAGTGCGGCATTCGTCGCATCACGCAGTTCGATGTGAGCGACCTGCCCGCCAAAATCGCTGGCAACGTGCTGCGGGGTGCGTGCCCAGCGACACCTTCGCCTCTTTCACCCATTGCGCCCTGCGCCACTCACGTGGCGACCACAGGGAAAGACGAGCACGGAGAATTCGAGCTGGACAAGTGGGTGGACAAGAGGGACCAAGCCCACACGCCAGCCTTCATCCAGTTCGCGCTCTCCGCCGCACGGCAGGCCCTCGACGACGCGCGATGGCAGCCCACCACCGATGCCGAGAAGGAGAGGACGGTACGCTGCTTCTCTGTTGCGACTCCGTTACTCTCTTGCTCAAGCGTGCTGCGCAGGGTGTGGCGGTGGGTAGCGGCATCGGAACGCTCGATGAGATCGTCTCCACGGCCAACACGCTACAGACAAGTGTACGCGCTGAGTCCCTGGGCCTTCAACCAAGGTGGGCGCCCGCCTTGACCCATAGATTCCATTCGATCATCAGGGCTATCGGAAGGTGTCGCCGCACTTCATCCCCAAGATCCTGGTCAACATGGCCGCCGGTCGGATCAGCCTTGCTCATGGCCTCCGAGGTGAGAACAACTTGTCTCTCCGCCGCCCCCATCCTGAATTCACGCTGAGCTCGCCGTTTTCGCTCATTTTTTCTCCAGGACCCAACCACGCATGCATCACGGCCTGTGCTACGGGCGCCAACGCGCTGGGCGACGCCTCTCGCTTCATTCAGTACGGTGACGCTGATGTAATGGTCGCCGGCGGCACGGAGGCATGTATTCACCCGTTGGCCCTTGCCGGCTTCAGGTACTTTACCCTTTACGTCCAGCGCTGGATTGAGCCGCAGCAACTGATCCCGTGCACGCGCTTGGCCACAGCCGCATGCGAGCTTTGGCCAGCAAGTTCAACGACGAACCAGAGAAGGCATCGCGGCCCTTTGACGAGAAGAGGGACGGATTTGTGATGGGCGAAGGTGCCGGAATCGTCGTGTTGGAGGTGTGCCCCCCCCCCATTGCCTTCATTGCCGGACTTCACCTCACCTCCGGCACTTTGTGGTGTGCAACAGGAGTATGAGCACGCGAAGCAAAGGGGAGCAAAGATCTACTGCGAGTTGGCGGGCTACGGTCTATCGGCAGATGCCCACCACATCACTGCGCCATCGCCAATCGGTACGGCCGGGGTACTTGCTTCAGCGTTGGCCGGCGTAACCTTCTCACAAGCTCCTTTCCTTCACACAGGTGATGGAGCCTATCGGGCAATGACATCAGCACTCCGGCATGCGGGCCTCGGCGTGGAATCCGTCGACTATATCAACGCACATGCCACCTCCACGCCTATGGGTACACGCTGCTTCTTTTCGATCGCATTACTGGGTGCATTTCTCTTTGTACTGGACTGAATGGTGTTCTCGTATGTCACCCCGTCAAACAGGCGACGAAATCGAGAATCGAGCGATCAAGCGGCTGTTCGGCGACCATGCGTACAAGCTCGCGGTGTCATCAACGAAAGGCGCAGTTGGCCATTTACTTGGTGCCGCCGGTGCTGTTGAGTCGGTGTTCGCCATTCTCGCTCTTCACACGGTACGACCCAACCAATGCTCTCCTTCTTGTTTTGTCAAACGCCCACGCTCACGGGGAGTGAATCCAGAACACGGCTCCACCGACCATCAACCTGACTGCGACCGGCGACAGCGAGCTCGATCTCAACTACGTGCCCCTCACCGCCCAGCAACGCACCATCAACGTGGCGCTCAACAACTCCTTTGGCTTTGGCGGCACCAACGCCTGCTTGGCCTTCACCAAGCTTTCTTGATGAAGTGGATCACAGAAGCAACGCGAAGTGGATGACACCAGGGTGGGGCGGCTTGTTGTGTTCGCGGGGTGCCTGCAAGTTAGCCCGAATTTCCATGGCCTCTCAGCCAGTTTCTGGGTAGCGGTATCTGAAGAATGCAACCGCAGTCACTCTTCGTGTGCTGCTTCACGCGAGCAGTTCCACCTCGCTCTTGCCTGCGCAACCTCCAAACACAATCAACAACAATAAGAAGATGGTACTGACCTCCTCCCATCCCATTTGAATTGATCGTTGATGCTCACGCTCGATCTATCGATGATGCGGTACAAAAACGCGTTCAGGCTGAACCTGTTAGAGTGCTCGTTACTGGCGCTGCTGGCCAGATTGCCTACTCGCTCATCTTCGCGATCGCGCGTGGAGACATGTTCGGCAAGGATCAGCCCGTCATTCTTCACCTGCTTGACATTGCCCCCATGATCGAGTCCCTCAAGGGCGTGGTGATGGAGATCGAGGACACCGCCTCCCCCCTGGTGCACGGTATGCCTTGCTCATTTCATGGAATGTTGTGTAATCGTCCGCGATTGCATGAGATCGAGTGCTAATTTGAGTGGCGAACTGTCCAGGCGTCGTGGCTACGACCGATCTGCAGGAGGCTTTCACCAACATTAACTACGCTATCCTCGTGGGCGCCATGCCCAGGAAGGAGGGTATGGAGAGGAAGGACCTGCTCAAGGCCAACTGCGGCATCTTCAAGGTGCAGGGCAAGGCTCTCAACGACTACGCCAACAAGGACGTCAAGGTGCGCTTTGTTTCCTTTCTCTTCAAGAAAGCACTGGAGCAAGACGACAGTAGAACGCTCAAGCGAGTGTCATCACCTCGCTCACGTCCCATCGACGATGTACAGGTTCTGGTCGTGGGCAACCCTGCCAACACCAACGCGCTGATCGCCGCTCTGTCCGCTCCCGGCCTGCCCAAGGAGAACTTCAGCTGCCTCACCCGCCTGGACCACAACAGGGCCAAGAGCCAGATCTCTAAGCGCCTGAACATCAACGTCAACCAGGTCCACAACGTGATCATCTGGGGCAACCACTCCAAGACCCAGTACCCCGACGTCAACCACGCCTACATCTCGGGCTCTGCGAGTACGGCCTCTCTTACTCTCACGCACATCCACGCCGTTAGGTGCAGAGTAGTAACGGCGTTGCCTTCTTGCTGGCTCTGTGCTTGTCACAGCTGGCGGCGAGAAGTCGCAGGTGCGCGGCGCCGTGGCGGATGACGCCTGGCTGCAGGGCGAGTTCATCACCACCGTGCAGAACCGAGGTGGCGCCATCATCGCCGCCAGGAAGCTCTCCAGCGCTGCTTCCGCCGCTCAGGCCATCGTCGACCACATGAGGGATTGGGTCAAGGGCACCCCCGAGGTACTGCCGCCCTCACCTCGCCAGATCAAGATCGTTTCCTTCTTCTTTTTCCTGTGGAGTTGGTAAGACTCACAACGACCTCTCGCGTGTTTCGTTTTGCAGGGCGAGATCGTGTCGATGGGCGTGTGGTCGGACGGCTCGTACGGCGTGGCGAAGGACCTGATCTACTCCTTCCCCGTGACATGCCAGGACGGCAAGTACACCATCGTGCAGGGCCTCGACGTCGACGCCTTCTCGAGGGAGAAGCTGGAGCTCACCGAGAAGGAGCTGCAGGAGGAGAAGGAGGAGGCCTCTGCCTTCCTGCACTAGGCCTTGGTATGCGCCTCTACCACCTAGGTTGCTACCCCGTTCGGTGTTTGGTCTCCTTGAGGGTGTGTCAAAAGGAAGCTGCATCGTTAGCGTTGCCCGGTTGTTGATGTTCTAGGGCACGTGCATGTCAACAAAGCTTATCTTGCTCAGATCCTCTCGCTCGTGGAGATGCGTGGCTTCAAAAGACAGGGCTATTTGTCGTCGCATCCTTCCGGAAAGAGGCTGACATTTTCAAGCTTCGGGTACCCCGGTTGGTTCGCCTGGCCAACCGGATAACCAACAGTTTCCTCTTGGCCGCTCACCACCGCTCACAACCGCAAGAGAAAGAGAGGCAAGAAGGCAACAAGCAGAGACTCTTGGTCCACCAACATGACCACCACTTTGCCCACTATCGCCAACCTCCTCTGCTGGGACCCACCACCCACTTCAGGGAGTAGAGTAGAAGGCATGCGACCAAATCGGCCGTCGTTCAAACACTCGCTGGCTTTCATCCTCAACGACGCCTCCCCCGCCACGCCATCCCCGGACAACTCTTCATCTTCATCTTCATCGTCAGCCCGGAAACGAAACACATCCAGGGCCAAGAGAGGGCGAGACCAAGGGGCCACTACCAAAGAGCGGTCAAAGAACGAAGTGCGAAACAAGAGAACGAAAACGACGGCATCGCGAGACTCGAAAACGAGAAGGAATCAGGGACAACAAGCACAGGCCAACGCGTCGGCTGTGTGGCTCCAGATGCAGACTTCCTTTACGCTCACTTCTCCATCGCCGGCTCCCGCTCGACCAGCGCCAAAGCGGGCGCATGCGCGAACAAGACAACCGGCGCACACCGAACGCAACGCTGTGTGCGCTACCGCACAGCCCAAAGTGCGAGCCTACCGCTTCCACAGCGTCTCGCTCAACCCAACAGCCTAGCCCAGCGAACAGATCAAAGTGTAAATAAAAGACAATCCATCAACCATCAGAAAGCAGAGAACCTGTCTTTTGCCGTTTATCCCAAAATTCCTTGTAGGGCCTTGCTTTGGTTGTGTGCCACGACAACAGTGTGTGCCACCTGCTTTCGCGGTTTCGCTTTCCTGGGCCTAGTTCCATTGGTGTTGCAAGGGGTTGGCCCCCGGAGGTCAACGGAGGTTTTGACGTATCCTGTCTTTCCAACGAAAGTGCGGCCGATGATATAATTCGGCCAATCAAAACAATGGATCGATGTGTGCCGTACCTGGGTCCCTCGGCTTTTTCTAGCTGTCAGAGACAGTTTAGCGGAAAGTGTTCACCATTCGGAGACTTACAACATTCTTACATGTACCCCCATTAACTGCCCCGGCAATGGCGCCCATTGCTGGTCAGTTTTCGATAAACAGGCCCAATAGAAACCGGCGGTTGCCCCAGCGCCACCAAATCAGGCAAACGAGAGCCGCCGATCCACACAGGACGCGTCACGGGAGGAAGCGACCAACCGCTCCAAACCTACGAAACGTTTCCTTGTCCTGTGTTGTCTTCGTCTTCGCGCTTCTTCTCCTGCCGCCGCCTACAAACCTTCACCATCAAGCCGTGCTCGGTCGGTCTCAAGCTCCGGCGGCTCAGGCTGTTGTCGCAAGACTCGCAACCGAAGTGTCAAAGTCCCGGCTGCAGCGCTACTCCCCCGACACTGTTGCGGCGGTGTATCATTCATTCACCACCTTCTCCAGCCTCGAGCGCCCGCTGCACCAGACTTTCTTGTCTGCACATCCTCTTCACCGCACCACCACAAGGTACTGCATCATCACCACTCCTCCCCGTGGTGCTTAGTAGTGGCGGGCCACACCCAAGCACGCCAACCAAAACCAGAACTGGGAGTTGTTGTAGTTGTTCTCTTCTGTTGGTCTTCATGGTTGGGTGCTAGGCCAGAAGAGCAGGTGGTGTGTGTGGCTACGCGGGTCCATTATTACTTGTATTTTTGTCTCACACCAGCTGTCGTTGTCCTCTGTGTTGCCGGCTTCACAGCACCCACTGTTTGTGCTCGACACAGCACCGACTCCCGTCCCCTCGTGAACTAACGAATCTTCTTTGTTTTTCTTCTTCTTCAACAAACCTGTATAGCACGCAGAGCCCCCGGTTCCGCTGGACCAAGGCGCTACCGACACACAACAGCAGCGGCGGCAAAGGCACACCCTCGTTCGTCAACTCCTAGGCGAGACGCGTGCGCAATCGATCATCCAAGATGTTGCCATCGATCGCGAATCTGCTCAACTTCGAGGCCTCGAACACCAACGACGACGATTCGATGGACGTCGTGGCCACACCCTCTCCCGCCGGCTACTACTCATCGTCGAGTATGAGTAACTCGGCGACAAGCCCTACTTTTGGCTTCCACTACACGAGTAGCACCTCTCCATCGTCGATGGGGGGTGCTAATCCGAATGATGCCACTACGCCGACCCACCATTCGCCGCGATCCGAGCAACAACGCGAGGGCAAGAAGAAGAATTCGATCCACTTCCTCCTCAACAGCAACGATGCCATGGAGGAGTGCTCGGCCAGCGTCGAATCGGCCAAATCTTCGTCCTCTACGCCGGCCCCGTCGACCGCCGCGAGCGGTCCGTCGCCTTCCACCCAGCGCCGACGCAAGCTGCTGCGACGCAACCGGTCGGACGACCGTCAGCTGTCGATGGCCGACAACAACAACAACGACGATGAGAAGACGAGGAAGAGGAGCGCGCCGCACGCATGCTGCTCATGCAAGGCTTCCCGCCCGACAAGGGACTCTTCCAGACGCCCTCGTCCAGCGGCAGCGGCAGCGCGGGTGCCTCGCGCCTGGGCAACTTCCCGCTGCCGGCTCACAGCATCGAGCAGCTGCTCCCCGCGACCACCTCGAGCCGCGGCTCGCCCAAGCCGTCGCGTCTTTTCCGCCGCAACAACAACAACAGCAACCAGCAGCAGCAACAGCAGGAGCTCGCGTACCAGCAGCAAATGCAACAGTACCAGCTCCAGCAGCAGCTTCAACTTCAGCAACAGCTCCTCCATCAGCAGCAGCAGCAGCACCAGCACCAACACCACCACCAGCAGCAGATGCTCATGCACACGAAAAAGAGCGGCAAGGACGTCCCGGTGCTGCTGCACCCGCCGCTGTCGCCCGGACCCAGCGACCACGTCAGCGTCGAGGTGTTCGGCGGCTCGTCGCTGCGCCGAAGCAACCCCGATCGATTGCCACCCTCGTCGGCGGTGATGGCGTCGACGTCGACCTCGCCCACGATGACCTCGTCGCCGGTCCTGTCCTCGTCGCCGTCGGCCTCGCTGTCGCCCTCGCTCATGTCGCCCTCGAACCGACACAGCCATCAGCTGCTGCCGCCGTCAAGCGTCCCGTCGCCCGCGTCGTCCCGGCCGCCGCTCGAGAGGAATCCGTCGGTCTACTCGCTCAAGTCCTTCTACCAACAAGCGTCGACTGGCGTAGCCACCGCGCCGCAGTCTGCCGCGGCCGCGCCGTACACGCCACACTACGGAGCGCCGCCGCCGCAGTACGGCACGATGCCCACCAACCCGTCGCACCACGGCTACGGCTCGTACCCGCCCTCGGGTGGCCACCCGTTCGCCGCGCAGCACCAGCAACAGCAGCTCCTCCAGCACCAACATCAGCAACAGCAGCTTCACCTGCAGCACCAGCACCAGCAGCACCTGCTCCAGCAGCAACAGCTGGTCCAGCAGCAGCTCCAGCAGCAGCAACACCACAAGCTCAAGGAGGAGCGGCCGTCGTCATCGGCCGCCGACCAGGAGCGACACCAGACCGAGCGGCTCGAAGAGCGGCGGCGGCTGACCAAGGAGCAGAAGAAGGTGCTCGAGGCCGTGTTCGAGCTCGACCCGCTGCCCAGCGCCAAGACCAAGCGCACCCTCGCCGGCGAGCTGGGCATGTCCCTTCGGAGCGTGCAGATGTGGTTCCAGAACCAGCGGGCCAAGCTGCGCAAGCGCGAGAAGGAGGCCAAGGACGGTGGTAGCGACAACTACCCCACGACCAAGGCCATCGCCTCGCCACCGTCATCATCGTCTTCTTCGGCCAAGGGTGGTCGGCGCAGCGGCACCAGCAGCCTACGATCGTCGGACGAGCGAGGCAACGGAGCCGAGAGCCACAGCCTGAGCAGCAGCGGCGGCGGTTCCAAGCGGGGCGGCGGCGCGGCGCCCAACTCGCTGGTCTTCCACCACATGAAGGCCAAGACCGAGGCCGGCGGCGTCTTCCAGCTGGTCGCCGAGGACCCGTGAACAACGAACAACGAAGAACGAACACGACGCCACGCGCTTGTGTTCGGCACGAGGCCGGGCAATTATTATTTCATTTATTTTATTTTCATGTTCTCGTAACGGGCCGGAACTGGGACACCGCCTGGCGCGCCTGTTGCCAGGTTTCTTGTTGGCAACTGGTTGTTGGATACTGATATCTGGAATTAGTGTAATTTAGATTATATCTAACCAACCATCGACGCGTCCATTCCTTTTGTGTCTTCTTGGGGCAGGCAGTGCGGCCAACAGTTCGGACAGCCAGACGCGAGCCCCGGGCGTCTCGGCCACGGCGCCGGCGAGTGCGACCAGCGTGTCTCGTTGCTGAATGGCGCCGGTGCCGGTGGCATACTCGTGGCCATCAAACTGGACCGTGCACACCGTGCCCTCTTGGTCCACCACCAATCCTGTATTCCCCGTACGCCGCGCCCACGTGAGTGCGTGTGCGGCACGGCACGAGTTCTTCTCATTTCAAGGGAGTCGGGCGTGTACCGATGTTGCGCACTTGAAGGAGGCGTGGGTGCAGGTCGTAGTCGCGGTAGACCCCGCCGCCGTAGTAGGCGTAGATCTCCTGGCCTGGCGGGACCGCGCGGAGGGTCCACACCTCTGTCTGTCGCGTGTGGTGGTTCTGCACGAAACAGGCATTGGGGAAGTAGCGCAGCTGGTCCTCGTCGTCACCTTCGAGCGAGTCTTCGTGGTAGTGCGCAATGGGAGGCGCAGGTGGTTCGTTGACGCAGTGCGCCAAGAAGCGTGGCACGTCCCACTCGGGCATTACCTGTCCCTCCTCATCTGACACACACTCACACACACACACACAACACAACACAACACACAACACACACAACACACACACACACACAACACACACACTCAGTCACACACACACAAAACACACACAACACACACGATCAGGTCACTTCTCTTGACATGTGTGGGTGAGCAGTGCGAGATCTACCTGTAGGATCGAGCACCCACTCGTCGTCGTAGGAGTTGATGAGATATCGGGCCTTGGCGATTACCGCGCTCGGTGGGAGCTCTTCCCACTCCGCTGCGGCATTTTCTTCGCTCGTGGTGCTCGGGGCGCGCCGCCGCCGCATGACCTGACCCGGCGGCTTGGGCTGGCCGCCGTAGGTCGCCACCTTGGTCAGCGCCGGCAGGTGCCGCGCCGCGAACAGGCCGCGGCCGTGCAGCCCGCTCGGGCGCGCCTCTACATTCGGCCCTCTACTCTCCTCTTCAATCACCAGGTCGACCGTGACGAGCTCCGAGGAGCGCATGTGCTTCCGGGCCAAGTCGCGCAGGCCCGACGGCAGGGTGGCGGTGAAGAAGAGCGTCTGTCGCTGCCCCGCCTCGGGCAGGGCGGCCAGTATGCGGTCGAGCTCGTCGCCCAAGCCAAGATCGAGCATCTGGTCGGCCTCGTCCACCGCCACCACCCGCACCTCGGCCAGCTGCTGGCCGTTGTCGACAATCATTCGAGCCCGTCGGGGCGTGCCCACGACAACGTCGGCGGCGCTCACATGATCAGCCTCTTCCAGGGGATCGCCGCCGGTGACGCAGACCACCCGTAGGCCGGGTGCCACCAGCGCGAACTCCCGGGCGATCTCACTGGCGAGCTCGCGGGTGGGCGAGAGGCAGACCACTTTGGGTCCGGCCTGGCTGCGGGTGGTGCTAATGGTGATGGGGTCGCTGCAGTACAGCAGCAGTCGCTGGGCGATGGGCAGGACGAGGGCCAGGGTCTTGCCGCTGCCGGTGCGGGCGCGGGCGACGACGTCCCGGCCGTCGTAGATGTGGTCGAACGTGCGCGCCTGAATGGGTCGCAGGTACTTGAAGCCGCGGTCCGCGAGCAGTTGGGCAGTGCTGGGCGAGACGCGGAAGGTCGAGACATCTGAAGAGCCAAATCAACAAAATCTTGATTTATAAATCGAACAAAAAAAAAATGGAAACAGCTCACCTGTCTGCCACTCCATTGCACCGCGGTGTTGCTTGTTGCTCAACCGCGGCTTACCGCGTTCGCCTTGAAGGTCAAAAATGAAAACGAAAATGAAAAACGAAAAACGAAAAAAAGAACGAAAAGCACAAGCTGGGCGGATGGCCAACAAGGTGCCATTGAGGACCCTGGCAAACTTCTTCCAGAGGAGCGTTGGCGCCCGAGTGCCAGAGAGCGGGCTGCGGAATTGAGTCACAGTCGCCGCGGACAGAGAAGGTAGCGGGCACGGAACTTCAAACTAATCACCAACAGCGGCGCCAAGGGTCTTTTTTTTGTTCGTTTATGGTAATGATGCCTCCCATAGCGGGGGTGACGAGAAACAGAGAGCACGAAGCAAGAGCACGAGCGAGCGGCTCTGCATCTCCTCCCAACTTATCTATCGGCGGTGTCGGGCACTTGTCGGTGCGGCGGCGGGCTTGGTGCGGGGCGGAGCTTGAAGATAAACTCGCGATTGCGCGTGAGGCGCACGGCTCGGCCGTCGCACACACGAAAGTTGTGAGACACGAACTGCCACCCGTCCTCCTCGCCCCCGCCACTGCCACCTGCCACCGCCGCAGCCTCTTCGTCTTCCTGTGTTGATTGCGCGCTGGACGGTGTCGAACTCTTGTCTCGGCGTTGCTTGGTCGCTTGGACTTGGCTGCGATGATGGCAATCTGTAGTCGTCGGAGAGTTCGTTCTTGCTCGCTTGATGCTGGCAAGTTGCAGCGCTCCTCGGCTCGCGCTTGTTGATGGCTTGGCGGCCCGCTTGTTGATGTGGTGGCGGTGGGTCGCTGATGGTTGATTGTCGCCGAAGACTACGTGGTCAGTCGGGGCGGCGGCCAGGGCACCCAGGTCGGGCACGTCGAGGAGGCCGAGCCCCCATTGCCGGCAGCTTCGAGACGCGCAGGAACCGCTTGGGATTCGGGTGCCTAGGGCGGTCGATGATGCAGTCGCTGCTGGCGGGAAGCAAGGGCGACGACGTCCGGCCATCAGGGGACGACAAGAGAGAAGAAGATGGTGGGGGTGGAGGAGGAGATGTCTGCCTGGTACGTCTCTTCTTGGTTGTGGCCGGGTGCTGGGGGTGATGGCGGCGAACCTCTCGGTCGGCCGTTGCCGAAGGCTCGGGTGTTGGGGAAGAAGGCGAAGCCGAAGCAGGAGATGGGTTGAGAAGGAAATCGATGGCGAGGCGTCGATCAAGACCTGATGCAGACGTCATTGATGCCGAGGAGGGGGCTGGCGAGGACCTGGGCGAGGAAACATCATGAGGTAGGTCAGTGGGCGAGGCCTGCCGTTGGTAGCGCTGCCCACTGTGGCGGTCGATCGAGGCCCAGATGTGTGAATCCAGGGCGAAGCCGTAGTTTTGGAGCACGCAGTGGGTGTGGTGGCTCTTCGTGTGCGACATGACCTGACCGCTTGAAACTGGAGTGGGACGACCGCAGTGGTTGCTGTTCTTGTTCTGGTTGGCGTCGTGAGTCGTGTTGTGTCGTCTTTTATGCGCGGTTGCGGTTGCGCCCACTTCCCCACGCCATCGGTTTCGTCACGGCTGCGCAATGGCGATGTTGCCTTTCGCTTCGGAGTTTAAACCTGTACCTGTGGGCAGATACACAGGACCCACGTATCTCCCGGCACAGCCGATCGGCCTCTCCCGAGGGCGCACTTTCCTAAGAGGGGGCGTGCATGGAAAACAAGAGGTGGTTCGCATCACAACCTGGGGCCAATCCGTCGCAGTATCCTAATCGCTGGCCGTGACCTTGCCACGCGGGCTAGACATGATCTTGGCATGGCCTCGGGCCAGATGCGTGAACAAAGGTCTGTATCTCCGAAAGCAGTGCACACCGTTCGTAAGGCACGAACAACGTCAATACCGGAGCTTTGCGCACAGTACGAGCGTTGAGGTGCGGACAAGCGAAGTGACAGAGCCAGACGATCACAGAACAAAATAGAAAAATGGAAAAGAAAAGTACAAAGAAAAAAAGTGCCGCCAAGATGGAGGATGATCGAGAGTATGACAAGCAGACAACAGAGGAAATTAAGGAAGACATCCGGCAGCAGATGAAGAGCGAGGAGTCCATCGACTTCCGGCTCGATCTCGAGGTACATCCAAACATTATGTGCATCTTTCCACTTTTTCCATCAACGCCTCGCGTTCAGTGGCCAAATCATGTGGCAAGCACCATGCGACTGTCGTTTCAGTGTTGGGCCTCTACACTATGCTTTTCTTCATGTGAATCCATCCGAATGATGCAAAACCGCGCGGATGTTCTGCTACAGCGGCTGGAGCGCGAGTACAAGGAGGAGTGTCGGCAGCACGGGTCGGCCGGTGCCAAGAAGTTCCCCTACGCGGTGCTCCTCATCCGAAGCAACAACAGGCAGCAGGTGGAGTTCGGCGTGCGGCTGCTCCACGAGGAGCTGCGCGAGGAGATCGAGGACGGCGGCCGGGCCAACCTGTACTACCTCGCCCTGGGCTACTTCAGGCTGGGCGACTACGTGGCCGCCCGCAAGTCCGCCGAGGCCCTGCTCCAGCTCGAACCGCACAACCGCCAGGCCCGCGCCATGAAGGCCCTCCTCGACGAGCAGATCACCAAAGGTCCGCACCGCTCGCTCGTTCGCGTTGGTCTTCGCCACCACTTGCTGACTCGCTGACCCAAACTCTCCACGGCATGCACAGATGGGCTGGTGGGCATGGGCTTGGTGGGCGGTGCGACGCTGCTGGCTGCAGGCGCGCTGACGGCGGGCGTCTTTTTGATCAGAGCCTTGGCCAAGAAGTGAGACTGTGGCAGTGGTCACTGGTCACGCCTTGTACAGACGTCGCGTAACGCCAGCAACCACACACAACTCTCATCAGCAGCAGCAGCAAGTGGTGTTTGCGTTCGATCAACAACAAAAATGAAATAAGAGTTCATGATGGCGCTCGTCATGTGTTGAACAGGCGCGAGTAGAGGCGGTCGTGCATGCCCTGCACCAGATCGAGCAGCGGCGAGGTCTGGTAGCAGTCGTGATCCGGTGGCAAGTCGAAGGTCTCCTTCTTCTTCATCACCTTCGTGTCCACCTTAAGCGCCGCTTCGTGGTCCTGGTCCTCGCTCATCTTATGCTCCATCTCCTCCTTCATCCGCGCCAGCTCTTCCTCCTCCTTCCGTAGTCGCTGCGTCGCCGTCGTCGCCTTCGCTTCGTTCTTGGCGTCGCGCTCAAGCAGCGCCTCGGCATAGGTCGAGCACCGCAGCTGGAGTCGCTGGCCCTCCAGCGGGCCGGTGAGGTTGAGTCGCACCGCGCTGCTGATGAGCGAACGCAGAACGACGAACAGAAACATCTGCTTCGTGGTCTCCAGCGGCACGTCTGCACTCCAGCAACAGAGGCCATGGCAAGCGACGCGTCAGTTGCGGGCACAAACGAAATGCATGTGTGGGCGGCGTGTGCGGGTGCGATGGGCAGCTGTCGCGTACCAAGCATTTTGCAGACCAGACCGAACACGGGCGCGTAGTGGCCGTAGAGGGAGGGCGTGGAAAAGTAGATGGCCCGCTTGTACGCCCCCAGCTCGCTCTCGGCCAGACACGACGCGGCGGTGGACAGCAGCGCCATGCCCTACGCGGTCGGCGAACATTCAGATCAGTGTGCGTGCGTGCGTGCCGTGTGTGTCGTGTGTGTGTCACGGGTTGTGTGTGTGTGTTGCGTGGCTCGGCAAAGTGTGTTTAATGCACCTGAGCCCGGCTTGCTCGGTTCGCGACGTGATTGGTCGTCATGGCTTGCATGAGGCGATCCACTTCAGCAAAGGCTGCAAAATTCTGTGGATGGAGGCGGTGAGTCAGCTTGGCAACGACGAAAATGGAGGCGGTGTGCGTGGACAACGCACGGAGTCAAACGGCTGTGATTTGTCCAACGCTCGGTGTGCACTTACGGCCACCTTCATCGTCGTGCTCGCCGTCTGGTTGAGCTGCTCTTGCAGATACTGCGCAACACAGCAAACTTAGCTCTAGTCCATTTTGTTTTCTCTTTTCAATTGCTGGCTTCGTTCTTCGGCATCACGTTCGTATTCTCTTTCCTCTTTCTTCGTTCTTTATCATAATATTGATTTATTTAGATTGAAGGGGGTACCTGCTCGAGCGATTTACCGTCATAGATGAGCCCGGCTTGCGCCGCCGTTTCAAGACCACCTAACAAAAAAACAAAGATGAGGAAGAAGAACGTGCACGACATGTTGGTTATTGAGTACCAGAGTGAACAAAGCCACCGGTGGGAAAGGCAGAGTCGATCAGCTGCCAAACGAGCCAGTCGCCGCCCATCTTTGCCGTGTATGTATGTGTTTGTTGGTTATGGTGTACGCTGGCGTTCGCCCCTCCACGCCGGCGTGACCTCGTCGCGCTAGAGGCAACTTCTCCGGACTTGAGGCAGGTGCCGTAGTACCCAGAGCCCGTTCTCACCTTTCTTCTGTGCCTTCAAAATTATTCTGCATTTCCTGAGCTCTTGGTTCGTTCTTTTCGAAAAGAATGAAAGCGAAGAGCTTCTGTGCGGCATAGAACGAAAGAGAAGGCACGTGTTATAAACAAGGAGGAGCGCACAAGAGGTAATACAAAATAGTGCGCACACAGGCGTTACAACAAGTGGAGTAGAGAGGAGACATCGGCAGCTCGTCAGACCGTTTCAGTCGAACATGTACAGTAGTAGCGGTAAGGAAGTGTTCCTCGCTTCAGCACTTGAAGTGTTACAAGAATCGGATGACAGGACGACGACGATGCCGGGGATGGTAAGAAGAGGAGCCTTGCTCACTTCTTCTTCCTGCAGATGTAGATGTAGTGCACGTCGGCCTTCTCATCCGAACCGGGAGGAGCTTGCTTGGCTGCAGACAGCACACGCCAAGACGTCATGAGGTGAGAAGCGGGCGTGATAGTCTGAAGGAGAGGTGGGGTGTCCAGTACCAACGGTGCGCTGCTCGACGTCCCAGCCAAACTTTTCCTTGCACAAGTAATGGAGGCGCGTCTTGGGCTGGCCATAGGTGATAAGCAGAAACACGCCGCCCGGCTTGATGATGCGTGCCATCTCTGAGAGGATCTTCTCCGTGTTCTCTGCGCTGCCTTCGCCACACTGTTCGAATTGCAGGGAAGAGACGCTGGTGTGAGCACATCGAGGTCCTCTCATAAGAGTGCCATGCACGTCGTTCGACGTACCAGGATGGCGTCCATGGTGCCCTTGTCGATGGCCGCGTCAAAGGTGCGGTCTCCGAACTCAGGCATGCGGGTGGCATCGGCAACTCGCCCTACGCATAGGCATGCGACGAGGACGAAGTGAGACTTAAGCTCAGCGGCATGAGACGAGCAGGAGGCGTACAGTCCATCTCAGGGTGCTTCTTTCGCATCTGATCAATCACGACCGGCGAGATGTCCACGTTGGTGATGCTCGTCGCGGCATAGCCGTCCTCCACCATGTGCTCAGACATTCCTTTTACAGTAAAAGAAATATGAATTTAGAATCCAATTCTCTCATTGGCATCAGGCAGCAACGTACTTGAGTTGCCGCAACCCACCATGAGGATGCGATCCATCGATTTGGGTGTCACCTCTTCAAGGATGTGCTTGAGGGTGTCGTAACGCTGGTACCAATCGAACTGTTCTTCATCCTTCTTGTACCGCTTGTCCCAATACTGCAGGTGACGTAGCGCAAGCAAAAAAGCAAACATTTAGAAGTGAAATTGCTGCACCGATGGTGAGCGCTGAGGCCTGAGTATGCTTCAGAACATACCTCGCGACCCTTGCCGTACGCCGATCCTGCCATTGCTTTCGATTTGACGCGACGAAGTTGAAGATGAAGATGAAGGTGAGCCGACGCCGACGAGGTTGTTACAGAGACTGCTGCACGTGATAAGAGTGGCAGGCCGATACTGCGCAGTCGTTGTGGTTGTTGCTTTGTGCAGAGAAGAAGCTTTTGGCTCTTGAGGCAACGCACCTTGTCTCCTTGTCGTGTTCTCTCTTCTCTTTCGCTACGCGCTCTGTGCCTGCGTGCGGCCTGCCCTCACCCCACAGCCCAACGCGTGGGTTTCCCACGCCATTTTCCGTAGGCCCAGCCCACCAAAGCAGCCTACCCGGTAAGGACCCTGTATACGCTGTCTAAATTTCATTCGTTTTGCCTGATATTGAGGAACCACGGAAGCCATGAAATTTCTCGGTCAGGCCGCGGCAACGAATCCGGCCGAGATCAATTCGTGAACGAAGCCGCAGGTGTGCGGACCCTAGTGGCTGGTGGCTTCCTGCCACGACTGGACGATGAGCTGGACGATTTCATCGACGCCCACGCCGTGCTTGGCCTGCGCGAAGATGGTGGGTCCGTCCTCCCTGATCTTCTTGGCGTCGTGTTCCATGACCTTGAGTATGGCGAGAGTGTGAAGTGTCAGCGTGCCGCGTATGAGTGTGAAGCAGCAAGGAGGCTCCACGACGCACCCCGAGATCGGCGCCCACGGCGGGGGCAAGATCGGTCTTGTTGATGACGAGCAGATCCGACTGCGTGATGCCGGGACCGCCCTTGCGAGGAATCTTATCGCCGCCAGCCACGTCGATCACGTAGATGATGTAGTCCGCCAACTCGCGCGAATAGTTCGCCGCCAGATTGTCGCCGCCGGACTCGATCAGCAGCAGCTGCGTCTTGAACTTGTGGGAGAGCTCCTCGAGCGCCAGCAGGTTGGCCGAAATGTCCTCGCGAATGGCCGCATGCGGGCAGCCACCTGCGAAGTGTGCGTGTGCGTGTGCGTTTTTCAGGACACGAGCCCTGGAAATGGGGTTGGAACGAGCGCAAGCTTTAGCTCCGGGAAGTGTACCGGTCTCGATGGCCACGATCCGCTCCGGGTCGAGGGCCTTGTTCTTGACCAGGAACTCGCCGTCCTCCTTGGTGAAGATATCGTTGGTCACCGCCGCGATGTTGTAGTTGTCCCTTAGCTTCTGGCACAGCGCCAGCATGAGGGCGGTCTTGCCAGACCCGACCGGACCGCCAATGCCTTGAACACAACGCCAACATAAATAAACACAATTAAATTAAAAAATGAAACAATCAATCAAAATAAGAATAAGAACAATAAATAATAATAATAATAATACAAGAAAAACAATAGGACGCGTGATCATGGCTCGATCGCTGATAATCGTTGAAAATGAGAGCGCGATCTTGGGGGTGAGAGTCTGTGGAAATGTACCGACAGTGAATGATCGCTCTTGCCAGTTTCTCTTGTGGAAAAGGGGCTGGTCGCGCGCCTTGAAGCTGCCGGGGTGGTCCATCTTCTCGTGCGTGTGGCCGTGCTCGCCGTGGTGGTGATGGTGGCCGTGCGGGTGATCGTGGTGGTGATCGTGCCCATGTTCATGGTGGTGGTCATGGTCATGCGGATGCTCATGGTCATGCGGGTGCGTGTGGCCGTGCTCGCCATGGTGGTGTTCGTGGTCCATCTTTGTTTGTTGGTGGTGCGTGTCCCTGCTCTCTTCTGATCTTCAGAAAATAAAAATGAATTGTCTTGTATTTGTAATTTATTTTTGACCACCCGCGTCATGACCAAGTACGGCCACCGACTTTTGTAATTTATTCTTTTCAATTTATTAAAAAAATTATAATTATAATTATAATTATAAATTTTCAACCAATTTAATTTGGCCTTTTTGTTCTTTCTTTCTCGCGTTCTGCTTTCTTCGTTCTTCCCGTTGTGGTGGACGCCGCCCCAAAACAGCCTCAACCTGTTCGTCTACTTCTTCTTCTCCTTCTTCGTGGATTGCGGCAAGAGAGTCTTGAAGAGGAAGAATCCGACATCAAACTAAAATTGGATTTTTGACTACGAAAGCAAAAGAAGATGAGACTGAACCCAAGAGAGCAGGAGAAGCTGCAGCTGCACTACGCCGGCTTCCTCGCGCAGAAGCGACTCGCGCGCGGACTGCGGCTCAACCATCCGGAGGCGGTGGCCCTCATCGCTGCCCAAATCTTGGAATTCATCCGCGACGGCCGCTCCGTTGCCCAGCTCATGGACCTGGGCCGTAGCCTGCTCGGCCGCAACCAGGTCCTCTCCTTCCTCCCTTCTTCTTCTTCAACTCTCTCTTTTCTTTCATCTTCGTGGCCAACCGTGCGTGTGCGTCGTGTGCGTGTGCGTGTGTGCGTGTGTGCGTGTGTCGTGTCGTGTGTGCGTGTGTGCGTGTGTGCGTGTGCGGTCGTGTCGTGTGTCGTGTGTCGTGTGTCGTGTGCAGGTGATGGAGGGTGTGGCGGAGCTGATCGACGAGGTGCAAGTGGAGGGCACCTTCCCCGACGGCACCAAGCTGGTCACCGTGCACGCGCCCATCGCCGCCATGGACGGCGACCTGGCCCTCGCCCTCTACGGCAGCTTCTTGCCCGTCCCCACCACCTCCGCCGCTTCCCAGCCATCGTCGGTCAGCCCGACCCAGAGCAGCGACCCGGTGGCGCCGGGCGGCGACTGCGGCGACGAAGAGTTGGCGG